CTTTAAAATCACCTGCATCTCAACACCAAGAAAATGAAAATCCTCCCCATATGTCACAAGTATCATGATAGACAGAAATTGTCAATGATTTCCTCTTACTTGGATTCACAATCCACACCCTCAGTACCAGTAGTCAGAACATCAAGACATAGCATTGGGAAAATCTGCTCTTAGAAATCTCTCCAAAGAAGAGCAATGATATCAGTATAAAGACTAAGGTGTGCCTGGCTCCCCCTCCCACCCCCGCAATGGCTTCTTATGCATCTAAAAGTTGGGACTATGGTTAAGGAAGACAGATGAATTACTGATGCCTTTTAATTGTGGTGACAAAGAGTACTGAAAATACCATGGATTCATACACAAACAAATAAATCTATCTTGGAAGAAGTGCACTCAGGATGCTCCTTAGAGAAAAGGATTGTGAAACTTTGTCCCACAGAGAAGGAAAAGAAAAAGAATGACGTCAGGTTTTTCTTATTCAATTTACTCTAGTCAAGGGTCAAACACGGTATCTGTAGAAGAGTAATTATTTTTACAGAATTTTATCAAAGCTTTTCTTTTTTTTTTTTTTTTGGTCCCTGGAAAGCATGAATGTACTTCCTATATTCTGGAGTGGAAGGGAGATAGGGAATAACTCAACAAAAATAATCCAGATAAAAAGCAAGTTTTCTTTCCACCTGGCCTTTGAGGCGCTGGAAGATGCCAGAAAATATTTCACTTTGGTCATATATTTTAAACAGTGAAAGAAGAGTCGAGTTTTGTGGTTGAGGTTCTGAAGGAGTGCTGCTGTCTGCCACTGGAAACCACACGACCCCTGGGCCTGACCCCATCACCAAGAAGGCTGGGTCTGGGGTACACAGGGCCTTCACGCACGTTTCTACATACTTACCTGTGAATATGTATTAAAAAATTTTTAAAGTCTATTATTTATCATTCCCTTCCCCAAATCAAATGCTCTGAGACTGTAATTTTACAACAATTAAACAAATGAAGAATGACAGTCATAGAACAATCTTGCTTTCTTTTGTATGTTTGCATTTAACACACTTCCTACACAAATCGTTATGTGATCACCTAGAATGCTGTTGGTTTGCACACACGTGAGGAGGTTTGAAACCCACGCCAATTGATTGGGAAGATCATAGCTTTGACCATCCCACAGAGCAGTCCCATGGTGCACACAAGATCACCCCAAGTCAGAACCTAAGCTCCCAAGGCAGTTTTATTCTTCAGAATGCATGGCCCCCTCCCTCTATACCTTCTCCCTGATTAACTCCCCAGTCCACATGCCACTTCTCCAAGAAAGTCTGCCCTGGGGCCTGTCCAGGTCCCACACCTCTGTATTTTCTTAGCACCTGCTACACAACCTCCTTATCACATTTAGTTACATTTAAGAGATCTATTTGTTTCTTTAACTAGAACATAAATGTTGTGAGTGTAGGGTCACATCTCACTCATTGTCCTAGGTCTATCTTCTGTGTAGGGAAAGTGTGAACAGTATTTGTTAAGCCAACAACTATATTACCCCAAAAGATGCTAACATGATTCCTAAGCCCAGTTCATGGGGCAACTATCAGATTCACAAAGTGGTTCTGAGTTATTTCACCAGTGTTTTTGTTTGTTTGGCTTTGGTTTTTGTTGTCCATGTACTGTTCCAAGGGATGCTAAGAAAGGCATGATGACAACTTCCTGCAGAGATCACAGCTGAGGAGACCCAGAGGCATCTGACTGCAGAACACAGTCAACTCAAAGGCAGGGTTTTTTGTATTTTATTATTTACTAGATTTTGATGATAAAAGATACTTGACAATTGTGCTCAAGGAGTTTAATTATCCATTCAAGAAAATCAGAATGAGGTGAAGGAATGAAGAATAGGTGGACACACACATTTTCTATGAATGTGTGCCCTGTGCTCCGGTGTACTGTGTGACTTCAATCTCGCCTCCACTCTTCCCTCCTTCCTGCCTTCCTTAACCTCCAGCCTTAGTTGCCCTTGTGTTCCTCCAGTTCCTCAAAAGCAACATGCTTTCTCCAACCTCCAGCATATGCACTAATATCTGTCCTGCTCTTTGCTCACCTCACAAGGACACAAGACCTCCTACATATTGTAAGCCTTAAATAGATATTTTATATATAAGTTAATAATTGAGTAAGCTATAGGGAGCTCTGATGGCCTACTGGTAAGAAGCTGCACTGCAATCCTGAAGGAATGCAGTTCAAATCCATCAGCTGCTCCCTAGGAGAAAGATGGGCAATCTCTTCCTGTGTTATTTACTGCCTCTGAAAACCCACTGGAAGGTCAGCTATGAGTTGGTTCTGACTCAATAGTACACAATAACAACAACACAGAACTAGACATATAAAAAGAAGGAATGTTATCGGGATATATACAACAGCGAAGATGTGTGCAGGGAAAACTGTAAGTAGCTAGGAAGCAATAGAGCCAAGCAGAATTAAAGCCAGGTCTGCCTAGGTCCCAAAAGGAGTTTCTAATACTCTCAAGTGATAGCTTAAATTATTCTTCCCAGCTATGTACTTGCCAATCTAGTAGAATGATACACCATTCCCTCTTCCACATGCCTGCACAACTTTGCATCAGGAAAGAAGTACCTACCCACTGACCCCATGACTGACACTGGTGCCATGACTGCCTTTAACCATGACACTGAAGACCTCATAATACCACTATGGAGTTGAGAATTAGAAAGGCATGGTCAGTAAGCATTAGCCTTTCAAGGTTTCTTCAGCCTTCTCCCTCTATACGACAAGGATCTACAGGACAGTTGCTTCTTTGTACCATCAAGTCGACCACAACTCATTGCAACACCCAAAACAGCAGATTTGAACCTCATGCTAGTCACATCCTCATCAGCTCTGACACACTTGAGTCCACTGTTACAGTCATTGTGTCAATCCATCTTGTTGTGGGTCTTTCAGCCTAGACTTTGAAATAATGACATCCAAAGCAGACCTGGGCATGACTCAAAGCCCGAAGTTCAGCCTAACCCTGAAGTTAAACCACAGCCAAGCTGCAGACCCTTGAATATGAATTAAATTTGCAAATACAAGACACTGAGATTTTGGGTTTGTTTAATGTCATAGAAGACATCTAACTGCATCATATCGCTGTGTCACAGAAGCAATCTAATGTTAGATAACTGATGCCAGTGGCAGGGCTGAGGCTTTCTGTTATTTCCTTGGGCACTGAATAATCAAACCAAAACTAAATCCACTAAACCAAAACCAAATCCACTGCTAGACAGTTGACCATGACTCATAGTGACCCTCCAGGCCAAGGAGAATTATCCCCATAAGGCTTTACAGGAACTAACATACTCAGAAGCAGACTAACACTTTTCCTTCCATGGAACTGCTACTGGGTTTGAACCACCAACTGCTTAGGTGGCAGCTGAGCTCATTAACTACTGTGCCACCAGGGGTCCCCACAATAAGTGCCTACTCATTGCTGCTGCACTATACCCAATGAATGAAGTTCATTCTAAGATGCTTCTAAAGCAAGAACTTCTAAAATGGATGACTCTCTGATTGAACAACTACACAGAAAGTTTGAGAAGGCATTGTGGTTTTAGATGGGACAGAAAGTATCAGGTTGCACTTGAAGTACTGCTTAAGCAGATGCTTGGGGAACAGCTAATGTAATCCCTGCCACATAAACTGACTAAGCATGAAAGTTGCAGAGTATCTTCAGCTAGATGACCCCAAAAACAAACAAATAAAAATGGCAAGATTTTGAGTTAACTGACACAGTTATCATTTATAATCTGGTGATTTCAATGTAAGTGATGCAACTAAAAAAGAAGTATGCAGGTTAAGACACTAACCTTCCAACCCAAACTTTCTCCTTCAGAGAAAATATATCCCACTTACTTTCATAAACCTGCACTGAGGTTTATAAAATGATCAAGCATTTTGTGCTTGCTGCAAAAGGTCAAGGACTGTAGCCTTTAATATGGACTGAAGCACAACATCAAGAAGACAAAGATTCTCACTAGATCACTTGGCAGCACCATGATGGATGGAGAGGAGATTGAGGTTGTTAATAGTTACAGCTTGCTCAGGTCCACAATCAACACTTTTAGCACCAGCAGTCAGGAAATCAAAAGACAATTTGCATTAGGTAAATCTGCTGTCTGGGACCTTTCCAGAGAATTGAGAGACAACGATGTCATTCTAGAGACTAAGGTGCACCTAATCCAGTCCACAGTCTTCACAATTACATGCTACGCATCAGAGAGATGAATAATGACTAAGGATGATAGAAGAAGAATTGATGCCTTTGAGTTGTAGTGCTGGAGAAGAGTCTTGAACATACCATGGACCACCAAGAAAACAAACAGGACTGTCTTGGAGAGGATGAAACCAAGTTTTCCTTGAAGGCTAGGATTTTGAAGCTCCATCTCACATACTATGGGCACATGGTCAGTAGGACTTGATCCTTGAAAAGGGACATCATGCTTGGAAGGGTGAAGGGAAAGTGCAGGAGATGAAGACTCCAGATGAGATGGATTGATATAGTAACTAGGACAATGGGGGTAGCTGTATCAGAATCAGTGAGACTGGCTCAGGACAGGACAGGCTTCAGAGCTGCTGTACACAGGGTTGCTATGGGTCACAGGCAACTTGACAGCACATAGCAACAACAACAATTCTGTTGATGGAATAAAAAAAATAATAAATACTATTTTTAATAAGGCAGGATATAAAAATATACATACATACCTTGCAAATCCTCACCTTAAATGCTTCAACACTTTGCAACTTACAAAATTTTTTTCATATATTTTCATGATAATATATGACAGTTTTGTTTGGTTTTTAATTCTCATCTCCAAGATAAGGATACAGAGGTTTGGCCATGAACAAAAGCTGATAACAAGTGGTGGACATTGGACTCTTTCCCCCAAATCACAGAGCTTTGTTCCCCAAGACACAACTATGTAGATATAGACGAGAGCCTCTGAAACTCCCCAGATACATACCACTCCAGGGAATATTTTTTGGAGCTGGTCTGCAGCAGCCAGGGCCTTGGCCTTCCCACCTGCTAGGCAATCTTCAAATTCATAAAGAGGCTGCCTCACAGGATTGGAGTAGGAAACCTTGGCGTTGTCCACAAACGTGATGTGTCTGACACCCCAACCCTGCATGGAGACAGAACAGAACAGTGTGATATTGAGAGGATGAATGGTTCAAAACACATCTCTCTTGAATTTTCTAGAAGCAGTTTTGCACTGGAATAGTAGGAAACTCAAAACAAAAGAGGCTTCAGACACAGAACTGTACAAATTCTCTTTTTGATCAATAGAACACCAATTTTTCTTTGAAAAGTCATGTAATCATATAGCCAATGCCTGGTTCCTGAATAATGAAATAAGAAATACCAGAGTGGCTCTGATTACTTTTGACAGGGCAACCTCATTATTTTTGACAAAGGCACCAGAGAAGGATTTGGATGCATGTCTCCTAAGAGTTGTCTATTCTGCTGAATTTGTAATAGCCTCCAAATATCTTGGCTTACCTTATTGTATAATTAATATAAATAACAATTCTTCTCTGAAGCTTGCAGCTTATTTCCTATTCTACACTATATATTTTCTACAATTTCTCAAAGAGGCAAAGCCTTGTTGACAATCTGGAATTTGGGGGAGGTGTCTATATTCTCAGAAATAGTTTTAATGGACTTATATCACCTCAAAATTATAAAGTAGGAAGGAATCAAATAGAGAAACAGATGTTAAAGATCAGTTGGTTTGTCTAAGGTCACTCATCTGGTAGGGGTGGGGAAAGAATGAAGATGACTACCTTTTTGGGGTATATCTTAGTAGATCATAAATAAGCATAGTGGCACAGTGATTTGATAGCCTTACAAGATCTGCTTTCTCATAATTCAGTCTTTTGTGAAAGTCTTTGAGACTGAAGGAGACAGTCAATAGCATTCAAGATTTGTTTTCAAACCAGGAGCATTTTCATAAACAGTATTTAGGGTGTCTCTGCTTTGAAGACTCATGTTAATTCTTGAGTTGACCTAAGAAAGGATGTGGTGCAGTGGCCAAGGAATACCTGTAGCCAGAACTGTATTACTGTAAGTGATTCCTGGCGCCCTGGAAACCTTGGCACTGAAAAGCTGCTATGCAGACCTAATTCCCTGTTTATACTCAGGGACATAGGAATCAGTCTTGCCATTCTGCTAGTACAAATTGTGCAGGACAAGAGGAAGAAAATGGAACTCTTGCTCCCATCAAGAAAGGAGAAGCAGTAGTAAGCACATCTGAGCTAGAGATTCCTGTGCAGAAAAGACTGTAATTAAGACTACAACTTCCAGCAGATACAGCGCAAAGGTGGAGGAGAATGAGACCACTGTGAGGAAAAGCAGCACCAATGCATGAAGGGACAGCTAAGGTGGTTAATCTTATTGATTTAAAAGGGTCTGAGTTCTTCTAGGTAGAGGTATAAGATGAAACTAGGATGCTTTTAAGGGTTAAATGTTAAGGCTTATGTGTTTAACTGAAAGTACTTGACAGATATTGAATTTTTTTCTATGCAGTACTGTATACATATTGAACACTTAACAGTTATGCATTTATCTGGATGTGACTAATAGAGAATGAGCACTTCTTCTGCGTAAAATATGTGATGGAAATGAATATTGGATGTCTACAGAACATGTGTAATTCCTCTGTTGGCCAGTACTTGCTTAGATACGGTAAAACGGAAGAGATTTGCCCAAGAGAAATGCAACACTGTTGAAAGTAGAATAGGAACACATTTAACATTGGAGCAAGTTGTTAGTCTTTGGGTAAACTGAGGCAGGTAAATCTGCTGTCATTCAAGAGCTCCTTCACAGGCTTTAAGTTACAGGGAGCTGGTGAGGAGGCAGTGTTGTATGTAGGCTCATGCTGCCACCTACACTCACTTGATGAGTAGGTGAGGGGGCACAGGAATGAAGATACGGGTTGAGTTGAGACAGGATCCATTAGTACTAACTGACCTAGCACACTTAGGTGCCAAGAACAAAGGGTATCAGACTGATGTGCAGGGAATAGTGAGAACTCCTGCTAAGAGCAAAGGGACCAGTCAGTCTAAAATGCAGGAAGATGCATAGACTGCTGAGTTTTCAACTGATGCCCATGGCTAAGGATGAACTGGCTGGAAGTCGACTAGTTCCTTTGCTGTGAGCTAGTGTAAACTGCTACAATGTGCTGATACTTTACTCTGGACTGGGCTTTACTTAAGAATGCAGATGCTCAAAAGAACAGAAGATTGTTCAGAGGAAGGAATGTGCTTGTCTCCTCAGAGTAGTGGTGTAAGACTTAAAATATAAAAGCAATGTGGTTATTTTCAGTTGTTTCATCTGCATGTATTAGCTTAATAATAGGTAAGGAAGACAGAGAAAGAACTGATGCCTCTGAATTATGGAGCTGGTGAAGAATACTGAATATACCATCAACTGACAAATAACTCAAATAAATCTGTCTTGGAAGTACAGCCTGGGTGTTCCTTAGAAGCAAGAATGGTGAAGCTTTTTCTCACAGACTTTGGGCATGGTATCAGGAGGGACCAGTCGCTAGAGAAAGTGAGATAGAGAGCCATGCTTGGAAAAGCAGGTCCAGAGAAAGAGAAGAAAACCTTCAAGAAGACAAGCTGACACTGTAACTGCCACAACCATGAACATGGTGCAAGATGAAGCCAAGAATTTTCATTCACTTTTTTTAAGAATTTTCATTTTATTATGCATGGGATCCCTACAATTCAAAGCCAACTCAACTGTGCCTAATGACAACATGAGTTGGAATCAACACTATGGCCAGTGAAAAGTAGCTTACAATAGTGTGGAAAATCTAAAAACCACTTATGCTTGGTTTGGGGATGTTGATTTCAGAAGTAATTTTTGCATTCTTTAAGCAACTGCTGAGTGGATAACAAAGGAAAGTGATCTCAGAACATGCAGGGCAGCTGGTAGAAAGCCAGATCAATGGAAAGCATGGTAGGGACTATCACATGCAGGCGAATGTTCACACTTAACTTCTGGCTTCCTGGAATGATACACAGTTGAAGGGTCAGTCTGCAAGGATTAAAGACAATTACAATACTCAAAGTTGGTGAGGATGTAGCAATTAGAAAACTATTCCACCGATTAAAAGTGCAAGCTGGGTTCATTTTTTTAGAAAATAATTTGTTTCTAGAATGTAAGTGTTCACATCATTTGGCCTGCTCCAGAAATCTATTCTAAGGAAATAAACTGAAATGCTGACAAAGACTTTACAACACAAAATTGAGTTTTGCAACATTATTTATAATTGTTGTTGTTGATTGCCTTTGAGTCAAGCATGACTCATAGTGACCCTATAAACAAAAGGCCTGAAGACTCTCTACAACTATCAAAATTTATCAAAGTTCATAGAGTTTCTGGAGGCATGTTATTTAGGAAGTGGATGCCACTCCTGCTTCTAAATTATTTATAATTAGAGAAAAAAAATTGGAACAGAATTGATGCCTAACAGTAAAGGAGCTATTTAGTAAATAATGTTTCATCTTACAAAAAGGTGTATTCTACAACCAGTAAAATGCTTTATACACATAATTTTTAATGACATGGGGAAATGTTTACAGTGGTAAAAGGAAGACACATATATAAATAAGATGCAAAAATATAGGAAAAAATACTGGAGAGAAGTGAAAAAGGGAAAAACCATAGTTTCTGATGAGTAGGGGGAAAAAATGGGTGCTACTTCTATTAATTTACAGCTTTTATACAGGCAGTGCCCACGTTACAAATGAGATCCATCCCTAAATGTGTCTTCAAGAATTTGCAAGTCAGAGCAGGTGTTAGTTATTGGCTGTTAGTTATTCTTAAGTACAAGGAAAAGTTCAAAGACTTTTCAGTGATTTAAAAGCTGCATGGCACACCCATGTTTATTGCAGCTTTGTTCACAATAGCAAGGAGTTGGAAACAACCTAAGTGCCCATCAACAAATGAATGGCTAGAGAAGCTGTGGTATATTCGCACAATGGAATACTATGCTGCATTAAAAAACAAGGAACTCATGCAATATTATTCAAAATGGTTGACTCTGGAGAACATTATGCTGAGTGAAATATCCCAGTCACAAAAGGACAAATATTGCATGATGCCACTGTTGTAAAATGGGACTGTCCTTGGGGTTGGGGAGAGAATGAGTAAGATGGGTTCAATAATGTATACTGCACTGAAACAGAGGAGGGAGAGAACCGTCTAAAAGAGAGATGTAACTGGGTATTTCTGTCATCACAGGAGACTAGAGCGAGGGCTGCATGGTGGAGGGGACCTGGGGGAGTGTTTGTAAAACAATGAAAGAATCTTTTCTTTTACTTTTCCATAATTTTTGGACTCATGTACTTTTAACTTGTTAGTCAAATTTGTGTCTTCTAGGTTGCAACACCCCCATGATACATCTTGAAGGATATGTACATGTACAGCCAAGCACAATCAATAAGAGTGCATCTGAATTCCAAAATCAATCTCCATAATAGTCTATGTGTTTCCTACTGCCAAAGGGGCCCTTTAGAGTAGTGAGAGAAGATCTTCACCCTGAAACCCACAACGTCCCTTTTCAGCAGGAAGTAGCTAAGAGAATACGCCGTCCCCTTTTCCTTATGACTCAGGGTGAAGTCTCTTTCAGGGAGGAGTGATAGGGAATGGCAAAGGATACACTGACAAAGAAGATTAATCAGAACTGGCTTTGACAAGCACTGTGGCATTTGGACAAGAACAAACTGGGAGGAGGGTAGAGAGAATAGTGCAATAATGAATGAGTGGAAGCCCAAAATCTCTGTAAATGTTTATGAAAATTAATAAAATATAATTAATTATAGAGAAAAAAAAAAGCTGCATGGACAGCAAATAAAAGGAGTGTGATGAAGAATCTGTGAGGAGGAGCTGATTTAATTGTTTTAAAGTGAGAACAAATTTGCACATTATTAAAGGAAAAGTAGAAATTGTCTATAAGTCAGATATAATCCAGGGAATATGTGTACATAGTGAGTTTACAATGAGCTTTCCTTACCATTTTTTAAAAATGGTAAAGAAAAATTAAACATCTAATTTCAGAAGCTAGAAAAAGAACTATAAAATTTAACAAAAAGAGGAAAGAATTAATAAAGATACAAATAGATATTAATGAATCTGAAAAAGCAAAACAAGTAAAAATCTCTCCTCATCATAGAACTAGTAAGTAAATCTAAGATCTGGTTCCCAAAAAGACAGAACAATGGCTAAATCTTGGGAAAATCTGAATAAGAGGAAAACTCAAAAAGCACAATTGGAACTATTTTAAGAATCAATGATAATGAAGGAAGAAATTAAAGCTGTACTAAAGGCATTGGAAAAAATCAGGCCAGAGGAAATGACAGATTATCAATTGTCATGTTGCAACAAAGAGACCCAGGTCTGGGCATACTCACTAGTCTGGTAAACTGACTTGAAGAGATTCACATCTGTCCTCTTTCTGCCAAAGAGTTATGCAATAGAATGCGGAAATTATAAAAAAAATGTCATTAATAACACATGTAAGTAAAATCTTGTGAAAGATTATAAAAAAAAAGGATAAAAAAAAATGGATAACAATAAGAAGAATGGGACTCCTAACAAAATTAATCATGCTTGTGTAAAACCTATGCCTAGACCAAGAAGTAGCCGTCTGAAAAGAACATGGGAGTACTGCATGGTTTAAAATCAGGAAAGGTGTACATCAGAGTTGCATCCTTTCTCCCTTCCTATTAAATCTGTATGCTGCATAAATCATTGGAGAAGCTGGTCTTTAAGAAGGATTGGAAGGAGACTTATCAACAACTTGTACTTTGCAGATGATACAACCTTGCCGGGTAAAGGTGAGGAGGAGTCAAACACTTGCTGCAGAAGATTAAACACTTGCTACAGCCTCAAAAAGGAATTGTGGTTGTTATATGCTGTGGAACTGAAAGCAAATCATGGATTACCCTTGGGTGGGTTTTCAGAGGCTATGCATCACATGACAGGAGACTGCCCATCGTCTCCTCTCAGGACTGCTGGTGAATTTGAATGGCATGCCTTTGAGTTGGCAGTGCAACCCTTTACCACTAGCCCACCAGAGCTCCCTTTAATATCTCAACATCAAGAAAACAACATTCTCACTACTGGACCAACAGGCAATCAAAAAAATCAAAAGAGGACCTCTCCAAAGTGCTAAAGAATAACAAGTCTAAGGTGTCTGATCCAAGCCATGGTCTTTTCAGTTACTTCCTAAGCATCTGAAAATTGGACAAGTACTCAGGAAGTCTGAAGACAAACTGAAGCCTTTGCACTGTGGGGTTGGAGAAGGGAATGACTGCCAAAAGAAAAACCAAATCCATCCTGGAGAAAGTGCAACTGGGGTGCTTCTTAGAGGCGAGGAGAATGGAAGTTTGTTTCACATACTTTGGGCATGTTGTGAGGACTGGCCAGTCTTTGGAAAAGAACAAAATGCTATGAAAGGTGTAGGGTAAGAGAAAGAGAAGACCCTAATAAGACGGATTGACACAGTGACTGTAACAACGGCCACAATATCCTGAACATGAGTGATCTCATCTCATCTGGGAAGCTATGTAGGGTAGATCTGGTTAGTGTATGAATGGGAGACTATCTGGTGGTGTAGTCCTTTGTATGTTGTGCTGCCAATCAAAACGTCACATCCACAGGTCTGCAGTGGTTCAAAACCAACACTGGCTCCAAACTACCAGCAGCTCTGCGGGAGGAATATGGGGAGACAATTCCTGTTCAGATTTATAGCCTCGGAAACAGAGTAGAGGCTCTCTGTGAACCATAATCAACTTGGCAGCAGGACTGAGAAGCTATGAAGCACAGGTAATTCTGGGAAAGGGACATCAGATGAGGGTGGATGGAAACTGCATACACTCTTGTGTTAACTGAATTTTTGTAACAGAAGCATACTCTAATGTTATAACTAAAATGATCAAGGAAAAGAAGACAAAGAGTGAGAAAAGAAGAAAGAGAGATTCAGGAGGGAGAGAAGGCAGGGAAGGACGCATCTGGAGGACTGGAAGCAGTCGGGCACAGTACAACGAGAACGATGTCACAGAGCAGAGAGCGTCACTTACTTACCATGAGTGTCCTAGCGACATTACAACCCAACGTGCCGGCTCCAAGCAGCAAACACTTGGCAGACACGACCTTGTCCAAATCCAAAGTAGGGACCAATCTCCAACACATCAACTTGAGATTTAGGTCCACTGATGACTCAGCTAACCTAGACAAAGAGAAAATAATTTATTTACCCTGTCAGTTACTCACTGATACTTCAAAATTGTTTTCAAATAGGAAACAAACAATGAGGAAATTTAAATTCAGAGGGAAGATAAGATGAAGCCTGACGGTTAAGTGGGGAGGAAGGATGGCATGTCACAGCAGTATGTGCCATCCAACCAATTCTACTTCGCTGCTACCTCATGGGCAGAGAAAAATTGGCTCATCAAGGTTCCTAGGCAGAAATCTTTACAGGAGCAGACCACTGGCTCATGTCCTCCTCTGGATCAGCAGGTGGGTTTGCACTGTTAACCTTCTGGTTAATAGCCCAGTGCTTAATACTGCACTAGGGTTCCCTGAATATTACCAAGTCCTGGGACATTGCTAGTGGGAAGTCACACATTCAACAGAGTGCTCCTAGCAATCAAGGCAAAATATTATCAGTTAACAAAAGCTATAATGCTCACTAATAAAAATAAATAACACAGCAGTTGCTGCAAATTTTTTCCCAATACGAAAGACAGATTTCTTCCATACTTCCTCAATAAAAGGTGTAGTTATGAGAGGATGTAAAGCTCAATAAAAGGTTTACATCTTCCTGTAACTACAACACTGCTTTCTGTAAACTATTACTGATCATGTCCTTGAAGACAGGCCAACAGTACAAAGTTAAAGACTAAAAGGTGTTACAGGTGTACAAGCCCTGGAGTCTGAGCCTGAAGTAAGAATAAGATTTAGAACATCCAGCAGAACAGACAGGGAGCTCTGGTGACACATTCCGTAAGGAGGTGTGCTGCTGACACAAAGGCAGTGGCTCTCTGGTGGATCAAATCCACCTGCAGCTCTGAGGGAGAAAGACAGGCACTCTCCTCCTGTATGGTGTATGACCCAGGTAAACCCGCAGGGCTGAACTATGGGTCAGTTCCAACAACTCAATAGCAATTAGTTAAAGAGTTGAGAAGAACAGATAAAGCATGTGTCATTCAGAATATCTATCATGAATATTAATTTCCATAGCCAAATTTAAATGTAGAATTAGGCAACAATTAGTAGGTAACACTCATTGCCAGTGTGAGTGGTCTCCAATGAACTGCATGATGCAGCCCCTGACAGGACCTGGGGTTTGCATTCTGGCTACAAAAGCCCCCGCAGAAAGCCACCCCTCCAAGTGTACCTTTTGGGGTCCATGCACTCACTGAGGTTCACCATCCTCGGGCCCAGGCCTCCTTTCTGGTTCTTTTCCCACCCGACTGCTTTGGGACAATCTTAAGGCAAGTAAAACAACATGTTTAAAGAAAAAAGGATCAATGAAAATAATTAAAGCAATGGAATGCTTACTTTTAAAAGGCAAATATTCACAATGACACATGTATTGATAAACTCTTATTCCATTTCTTTCTCAGAGTCTCACAGGCCTGAATTTGCTTCCTCATTATCCTTGGTTACTAGAAATTTTGTTTTTGGTTTTTGTTTTTGTTATTTCTTTTTTTTTTTAAAAAGGCAAGCAACTTCACTGAGTCAATTACAACTCACAGCAGCCCTGCAGAACTGCCCTAAAAGGCTTGTATGCACTAAGTCTTTAAAGAAGTTAGCTGCTTCATCTTTCCCCTCAAAATTTGTTAGCAGCCAAACTCTTTAACTCCTCCACCATGAGGCCGTCAAAGCGAGCAGTCTTCTGGCACAGGGGCTTCTGAAATAGCCCTCAATGGCCCAGGGTGCCTCCACTGCTTTGGATAATAGATATTGTCCAAAAAAACCCACCAAAAAACCAAAACATAAAAAAACCACCACCACCAAAACCCCCCAAATAAAACAAAGACAATCATGTTTCAGGTAGGTACCACCACACAGAGGGTCTATGGTGAGGTGACCACAACACACTTGGAATAAGAACTTAAGATTTTTGTAATTTGCTTTGTTAATGTGCTGAATTACATTGATTGTTTTTCTTATGTTAAACCATCCTTACATACCTCCTCTTAGTCCCACTTGTTCATGATTTTTTTTTAAATGTGCTTTTGAATTGTATTGGCTAGGATTTTGTTAAGGATTTTTGCATCTATGTTCATGAGATACTGATTTATAGTTTTCTTTTTTGGCAATATCTTTGCTTGATTTTGGTATTAGCGTTGTGTTTGTTTCACTGAATGTCTCTGGGAGTGTTCCTTCTTCTATTTTTTGAAATAATTTAAGTATAATGGGTGATGAATCTTCTCTGAATGTTTGGTAGAATTCAGCCATGAAGCCATGTGGTCCAGGGCTTTTTGATAAAATCCAACACCATTTCCTGATTAAGACACTCAGCAAAATTGGAATAGAAGGGAATTTCCTCAACAGAGTGAAAAGTATAAATTCAAAACCAAGAGCCAATATCATTCTCAACAGAGAAAAACTTAAAATATTTTCCTTGTGAACAGGGACCAGACAAGGATGCCCACTGTCACCACTTCTACTCAACACTGTATTGAAAGTACTAGCTAGGGCAATATGACAAGAGAAGGATGTAAAGGACATCCAGACCGACAAGGAGACAATGAAACTATTGCTATACGCCGATGATAAGATAGTATACACAGAAAACCCCAAGGACTCAACAACAACAACAACAACAAACTGTTAGAGCTAGTGGACTAGATTAGTAGGGTTGCAGGATACATGATCAGTGGGATTCCTTCATAGTAAGACAGAGAACACAGAGAAAGAAACTAAGAAAGCAATACCATTTACAACAGCCAACTATAAATTGAGGTACTTGAAAGTGAACCTAACTAGACACACAAAAGACTAAGAAAACTACAGAACATTTTTCAAGAAACAGTAAAAGACCTAAATACATGGAAAAATGTGCCCTGTTAAGGAATAGGAAGATTCAATATTGTGAAAAAGACAATCTACCAAAAGCAATCAATCTATTTTCAACATAACCCAAATCCAGATATCAAATGTATTTTTCAAGGAGATCAAAACGGAAATTATCAAGTTTATTTGGAGAGGAGAGACCCCGAATAAGTAAAGTGCTTCTCAAAAAAAGTGGTAGGCATAGCACACCCTGATCTCAAAGCCTACAACACAGCAGTAGTAATCAAAACAGCATCGTACTGGTAAAATGAAAGGTACGTTGACCAATGGAACAGAATGAGAACCCAGAAATGGACTTCTCTATCTATGGTCATTTGATATTCAACAAGGAAACAAAGCCTATCAAATGAGGAGATGACAACCTCTTCAATAAATGGTGTTGGCAAAACTGGACTGCTATCTGCAGAAAGCTGAAATAGGATCCACATCTCTTACCATACACAAAAATCAACTGAAGGTGGATCAGAGACTTGGGGGTAAAGTTCAAAACCATGAAGTTCATAAGAGACAAACTGGGACCAAGCTTAGGAAGCCTAGTATATGGTATAAAGAGGCTGACAAATACAGCTGAAAATGCATAATCTGGAGAGGATAAAATTGATGAGTGTGACATTCTAAAGATGAAATCTCTGTGTGCATCAAAATGTTTTTCCAAGAGAGTAAAAAGAAAACCTATTGACTGGGAAAAAACATTTGGCAATACCATTTCAGACAAGGGTTTCATAAGAAAAGATTACAGAATATTACTGTACTTCCAGAAGAAAAAGACTGATAGATAACCCACAATAGTTGAAACACTTTTCATAGAGGAAGATATTCAGATGGCCAACAGACTCATGAAGAAATGCTCACAATCACTGGCAGTAAGAGAGTTGCAAGTCAAAACCACAATAAAATACCATCTCACCCCAGTAGCAATGGCAAAGTTTAGTAAGGCAGCAAGTAATTAATGTTGGAGAGATGGGAACTCTTATACACTGTTGGCGGGAAGGCTGTTTGGCATTTCCTCAAAATGTTGAACACAGAAACTCCCTATGACCCAGCTATTCCACTGCTAGACATAGACACAATTAGAGCTGAGACACAAATGGAGATTTGTATACCAGTATTCATAGCAGCATTATTGACCATGGCAAGAACATGGAAACAGCCCAAAATGTCAAACCACACCAAATGGACTGAGAAATTGTGGTATGTTCACATAGTGGAATACTATGTAGCAATCAAGAATAACATATTTTGAAAAATTACATAATTTGGGAGAGGCTGCAGAGCATTATTCTGAGTGAACTAACACAGCCTCATAAGGACAAATACTGCATAAAACCATTATCATAAAAATAGAATGATAACTAGCAAAACATGTTTAGGAACTCCAAGTGGGGAGGGGGGAGGTAAAGGGGTGAGGATAGGTATGGGTGAAAACACAGAGCAGCACAGTTTTGTGGTGGGGGAAGCAAATGTGAAGGAACCAGGTGAAAAGACAGGGTAATGATAGGCAAGGTCCAATGGTTATTGATATTACAAAATGTAATGTATGAGAATGACTGTATAAAACACAAGGTGAATAGTGTGAAACATAGTGTATATAATAAACTTTGTAAGCAAATAAATTTAAAAAATAATGTAAAATAGAACATGTATTGATTATACGATAACAACATAAATGAAAGATTGTATAAAACACAATGTATATGAATGAAACATAATATAAAGGAATTATTATAAATTAATAAAAAATATTTTAAAAAGAATTTTCTACATCCCTCTTGTTCCATCCTTAGCATTTCTTCTGCTCAGTCTCACAACTCCTTCATTGTGCACCTGTATACAAGTCACAGTCTAAGGTGACTGCTTCCTTATTAAACTGTCTTTTCCTTTAAAGTCACCCTGAATAATTCAGATGTTCCCTTTTCCTAGCTTATCCCTTCTTCACTGCCCTATCTTTAAACCCTGTAATGGTAGCCTCTGAGAAATGATGAAAGTTATACAAGTGTTTGGGTTTTTCATTCTCAGGGTCGCTATGAGTCGTCTACGACTTAAAAGCACTTAAAACAATAACAACATAAAGAGAACTCTGTTGGCCTAGTGGATAGAAAGTTATGCTACCAAACCAAAGGTAGGTGATTTTAATCTGCAGCCCTCAGTCCTGGTTTTAAATGTTTTTGGTCAAACATTCTTCTACATGGTCTATTTGCTGTACAGAGGTTGCTGCGATGCTAAACACTGTGATATTCATGTGTCAAATGTGATAATGGTTATCCATGGTGGATAGCATTTGGTGGAGCTTCCCAATTAAAACAAGCTTGGACACAGGAGTGGCATCCACTTCCAAAATAGCTTGTCTCCAGAAACCCTGTGAACTTGAAGAAACGATGAAAGTTATACAAGTAAGTGTTCAGGTCTTCCGTTCATAGGGTTGCTATGAGTTGTCTACGACTTGATGGCACTTAACAACAACAACAACAACAACATGGTAGCCTCTGAGCTCTGATGGCCTAGTGGCAAGAAGCTGCACTGCAATTCCAAAGGCACACAGTTCCAGCCCACCAGCTGCTCTTCAGGAAAAGGATGGGCAATCTCGTCCCATGCGATTAACTGCCTCTGAAAACCTGCCAGAATGGTACACAACAACACAGTAGCCTCAATGAGTGAAGCCTGGTAGTGAAATGCCAGCTGATAACAGAAACCTCAGTGGTTTCTCCAGTGGGTCTAGGGGACAAAAGGCCTGGTGAATTGTCCCTATTAAGAATACGTGCTAGGAAACTTTATGTTGTCATTCAGCTCCACTGTACAGAGTTGGTACAAGTTAGAATCAATTTCAGGGCACTGCAGTAGCGTTTTTAGCTTCAATTCCAGGAAATAATAGGGATCTTGTTGCTAAATATGCTGGGAAAGTGCTTCCATGTCTATACATCTTCCCACCCACACATGCCTGGAGCAAGGTAAGGCCAAAAAGCTTGCAGTAAAGAATAAAGGCGTTTGTCTTTTGCTTTTCAAGGAGAGGAGCGAACTGGGGGTGGAGGTGGGGGGGGGTGGGGAGAAAAGTGCAACAATGAATGAATGGAATTCCAAAATCTCTGTAGATGTTCATTGAAATTAATAATAATAATAATAATTTAAAAAAAAAAGAACGCAGCCTGTTTGATCATTTCCCTAACTTACTTTGCTCTACTGGCCTTCTCCTTTTGCCCCATAACTCTAATGCATATTTCAGGGCACACACTGACAGAAATGCTGCTCTATTCTAGGGCTAGGAAATTGTCTTCAAAATCTCAATGGCTTTGTTGAACACATTATCACCTCCTCATCTTAATGGACACCTGGCTGTTCTTGGTGCAACTGCTGTTGTGTTGTTACGTACCATCAAGTCAACTATGACTCATAGCAACCCTATGAATCTGAACCCTACGCTAGTCTGCACCATCCTCACCATCTCTTTACACTCGAGACCACTGTTAGAGTCGCTGTGTCAATCTATCTTGTAGAGGGCCAGATTCTCTGACACTAACCTTCATGGATTGCAACTACAGTCATGTGAAATTTAGTACTGGGTCCACTCTCTCTCACACTCAGCCTATCCCAGAACTTCTGTCTTTTTCCTTTTCTCACTGAATCTTCACTGCGCATATTAAAACCTCAGCTCCTGGATATTGCTGAATTTAACCACAACCTAACCTTCTACTCTAAACTTGAGAATCTGCAGGAGTGAAAACTCTTTGACTTATGGGTATGGATTATATGGGAAAAGAAAAGATGTACTCTCCATAACCTGAAAATATTCGGGACTGTCAGGAAGACCTGATGATTATTTCCACTTTTGCACTGATTTTGGATTTATAATGACATCTCTATTTTCTGTTCTTTAGCTTTAAAAAAATATTCTTCCTGAAAAAAATAGCTTTGTTTTAAAAAAATTGTGTTAATCCATATAATCAGGAAACTTTGATTTAATTATGCAATCTTTTCTTCTGGGAATAGGAACAATCTGAAAACTCTTTGAATCTCATGTTTGACTAAGGACATAATTTGCTGCAAGAAAACAGAATATAGCAAATAGGAACAAGTTATATAAACTATTCAAAAGGGAAAGGGGACAAGAAGGGAAAAGAAATCACCAGGACAGGGGAGACTAGCGGGTGGGTGGGTTGGGTAAGGAATAGGCAAGGTGAAATGAGGACTTGATGAATGGAGTGATAAAAGTCCACAGCCCACAAATTAATAGTACAACAGCAAATAGTACCTCAATCAAAAGCACAAAAATCAACACAATTCTTTAAAACACAATAAACAGAAATGGTTGTAGAAAATAAAACATTCATGAATGAAACAATGTGAATGAATGATTGCATAAAAAGTGAATGCATGAATAAGACAAAATGTAAATAAAAGAAATATAATGTATATGAATTACTGTGTGAAAACCTATTAAAAAAATGCCAGGGATAACATCAACAGTCTTCCAAACATCCTGAAAAATCTACAACCAGGAGAGGATAAAATAGATGAATGGGACCTTCTGAGAATCAAATCCCTATGCACATCCAAAAACTTCTCCAACAGGGTAAAAAGGGAAGCCACAGATTGGGAAAATGTATTTGGTAATGACATGTCAGATAAAGGACTTATATCTAGAATTGATAAAATACTGGAGCACCACAACAAGATAAACAACCCAATTGAAAAAGGGGCACAGGATATGAACAGACACTTCACCAAAGAAGACATTTAGATGGCCAATAAATACATGAAGAAATGTTCAAAATACCTAGCTCTAAGAGAGATGCAAATAAAAAAAAAAAAACCTATGACATATCATCTCACCCCAGTAAGACTAGCAAAATTTAACAGAGCAGCAAACAACAAATGCTGGCGAGGTTGTGGAGAAACTGCAACCCTTATTCACTGTTGGTGGGAGTGTAAAATGGTGCAACCACTATGAAAGGCCATATGACACTTTCTCAAAAAGTTACAAATAGAAATACCATTTGACCCAGCAATACCACTACTTGGAATATACCCCAAAGAGACCATAACTGCCACCCAAGCAGATACATTCACACCCATGTTTATTGCGGCTTTATGCACAACCTAAATGCCCATCAACAAACGAATGGACAGAGTCACTGTGGTCTATTCACACAATGGAATACTATGCTGCATTGAAAAACAAGGAACTCATGTAATATTATTAAAAATGGAGGACATTATGCTGAGTGAAATATCTCAGTCACAAAAGGACAAATACTGCATAGTGCCACTGTTGTGTCCCTCTCCAGGGACTCTCCTAACAACATACCAAAATTATGTGAGATGAGGCTTCATCTTCCTTGCCTCCAACACTCTGGTTACACTTTTTCCAAGACATATCTATTTGTACTTTTGATAAATGGAATAGTCAGTACTCTTCTCCTATATGACAACTCTTCTGTTATCTTTATTCATCAATTCTTCTATTATCCGTATGCATCAGTTCTTCTTCTGTTATCCTTATTCATTGTCCAGCTCTGAGGTGCACAGTGACTGAAAAGATCATAACTTGAAGCAAGCATACCTTAGTCTTAAAACCTCCTGTCATTGTTCCTCAGTACTTTGGAGAGGTCCCTGATAGCTAACTTGCCCAGTGCAAATCTGACTCGGCTACATGGCCCTTTTAACTACTGTTATAACGAAGGCATTTCACAGTGTGCCAGAAGAGGGTGCCTAACTAAAACGAAACAGCAAACAGTCTCCTTGAATTGGGACACAGAGCCAATCCTTCTGAGCATTGTACAGATCTGATCACTTACATAATGTGCTCAGAGCAATCTTCTGGTTTTTTTAACTCTAGAAATGACATCTCAGAAGAAACTTTAATACTCTGTGTGAAAGTACTTTTAAAAAACACACTAAGCTGCAGAAAACAAAGGGACTGTTTTGGGATAATATGTCTTAGAGTGCTTTCAGGGTTGGAAAAAGCACTGGGTTTTGAACGAGACAGGAAAGAAATTAAACATTTACTCAGGAGCTCTGGTAGTATAGTGCTTCAAACGCTAACCTTCAGGGTGGTAGTTCAAGCTTACCAAACGCTCTACAGGAGCATCCCAATCCATTTCCAGGCGTGCTGAGTTTGAATCAACTCAATGACTGGATTTTTTAATACCATAGTATAGGCATGGTGCTCTATCTTTTATACAGGACATAGATACCATATAGAAACACTCCATGAGGTAGGCTGTATTATCTTTATTTTACTGAAAATAGAGCATCTCTGTGAAATAGAAATATATACATAAATTGATGTGTGTGTGCACACACGTCTATCCACAGGCAGTGCACACAGTTAACCACTGGACTACTAATCATAGACTTGTAATTCAAACCCGATCAGAGAAGCATCTAATGAAAGGCTTCGTAATCTCTCCCCAATATCCACCATCTTGAAAACCCTAAGAAACAGATGTTCTCAGCACACATGGGGCAGCCCTATTTTAGACCAACCCAGTGGCAGCCAACAGAGAGAGTGTGTGTGTGTGTGTGCACATGCGCACGCGTGTGCATGCACACACATGCATACAGATAGAGGAAGGGACACAAATTCACCTCCCCCCTAAAAAACTTGCCACTGAGTTGATCTGATCCACAGTGACCCATGTGGGTAGACAAGAACACTCCAAAGGGATTTTAAGGCTGTGACCTTTCAGAGGAGGACCACCAAGCCTGTCTTCCATGGTGCCTCTGGGTAGATTCGCAAATGCACATGTCTATGTATCCATAATGTCTCTAAGCTCCAGTTCCCTACATTATAAAACAGAGATGCAACTCATATACTTTTAAATAGTTAAATAGTTAAATTTGTGTCTTCTTGGCTGCAACAGTTCCATGATGCATCTTAAAAGATATGAACATGTATGGCTCAGCACAACTGATAACAGTGCATCTAAATTCCAAAATCAATCTCTACAATAGTCTATGTGTTTCCTATTGCCAAAGGGGCCCTTTAGAGTAGTGAGAGAAGATCTTCACCCTGAAACCTACAGTGTCCCTTTTCAGCAGGAAGTAGCTAAGAGAATATGCCATCCCCTTTTCCTTATGAATCAGGGTGAAGTCTCTCTCAGGGAGGAGTGACAGGGAATGGCAAAGGACACACTGACAAAGGAGATTAATCAGAACTGTTTTTGACAAGCACTGTGGCAATGGGACAATTAACACAGACTTCCAAGGAATATTCAACCTGAATCCTTCTATCATATGGAGATTTTTGAAAGTATTTCTTTTAGTTTATCATGTTTAATTTGTTTTATTTGTTTGTTTGTGTATAAAGGATGCTCATCTAGATGATAACATAATTAGGATAAAAACAAAAGGGGGGAAATATGGGAAGCCAATACTAAATATTTGTAATAAACTGAATGTTATTAAAAAAAACAACACAGAACAAACAAACAAACAAACCCCAGAGATGCAAGCTGGTTCTCACACACAGGATCAAATGAGAAACGGCTTCTACAGAGTGGAAGACTATATAGAACACAGGGTTTTTATATATATGTATATATAACTAGAAGTGTGTAACAGATAAATATGCAAGTTAATTAATATCTCATCCTTCCCTTAAGAAGAGACAAGAAGAAAGATTTTTTTGTGTATAATAAAAAATCCTAAAAAACTAGGGGTGGGGAGAAATTCTCAAAACTGAAAAAAAATACACCAAAAAACCAACCAGAAACAATAACCAGGAGAAGCAGTGCCTACAACGGGTCACTGTCCCGTGTGAACAGCCCACAGGGCAGGAGCTGCAAGGCCCCCCCTTAGGCAGACAGTGAGGGCTGTGCGGCTCCCAGTACGTGCGAGTGAGCCAAAAGAAAGGGCACTCGCCTGGTGTCTGACAAGTTGTAACAAAAGGCATTCTGAAAGAGCAACAAGTTACCTGGGCTAAATGCCACTTCTGGAAGCTTCACTTCAAAGATGATGCTGTGTGTGATGTCTCGCACCCCCTGCATGGTTCGGTCCCGGAAGCAAAGCACCTCTACTGACTGGAAACGGCTACTCCTGAAGTTACCCCGGATTTCAGTTATTTTATAAGGGAAAAGAGAAGAGCAAGCTCAGGTTAGAGTTTCACCAATTCAATTGAACAGAGTTCTGTTTATTCTAATCATACCCCTCTGGCACCTCAAGGGAACAATTATAATCTTAGTGGAATTTTAGACTTATCTGTATAGGCTTCTAAGCACCCAAACGAACTTTTACAGGAGAGTCCACAAGAACCTATGGGTCCAGTGTCCTCTGTCCCGCTCTAAAATCACCTTTTATGAAATAGTATTTTCAATCAGTAGGCCCACTTGTCCTATGCAGATGTGCTGTTTGAAGAGGAGCCATATAACCTTCTCTTCCTGGTGTCATATTAACTCCTCTCCTTCTGTTCTTTCTGTGTGTACATAAATATTTTTAAATGCATTGTAAAAATCTGAAACAATGTCATTGTCCACTAACTGATAAAACAGAAGACAGTTCTTTTAAGTAACCCTTTTTACATAAACGGGAAGACCACAAAAGGACATGAACTCTAAGTATTGAGGAGCATGTCTCATGCCTCACTCCAGTTAGGAAGCTCCTCTCAGACCTACTCCTGTAAACCCACAGGTTGCTTTTGCCTATTTTAAAGCTTTCATATAAATGGAATCAGAATCTGTCATATCAGGTTTATTTCGCTACATTCTACTTCTGAAACCAAATCACATTGCTATTTAACAATGTGTTTGTAGATCTGCAGTATAGCTTTCCATTGCAATGAACACACCGTAACTTATTATCCATTTCATTACCACAGGACATCTGCACTATTTCTAGTTTAGGGCTTTTATGAACATACATATATGTGTACTACACATACACTTCTGTGTTGTATGCACCTGACAGGGGAACTCTCACTAGGTACTGACATTTGTTAAATGTATTGGTGAGCATGTAGCTATAGGTCATTATTTTTTTCTGTTGTGAAACAATTTTTTTAAATTGTGATTTGAATGAAAGTTTACAAGCATATTGGTTTCTTGTTCAACCTTTCACGCACATTTTGTTTCATGGATTAATTACAAAACCCGTAATCTAACCATAGTCTTTCCTCTTCTTCCTCATGATATTATCTTTCTACTTCCTGCTTTCAAAGGTTTATCTCTGGGTAAATGCTGCTCCTTTTTTATTAGTATGCATATAATTATTTATATAGATTGTGTTTCACTCATATACATGGTGGGGATTTGTGTGTATGTTTCAGACTTTCCTTCATTGGCATTATGCATCATACAATCATTCCTATGCATTGTGTTTTATAAAATAATCACCACTGGACTAAGCTCACCACTATACCCCATCTTTTCAGGTCCCCACTGGATCTTTCCCACGTTCAAAATGCTGCCCTATTGATCTCCTGTGGCGGTTATTCTGAGAAGTAGGTGCATCCTTGGTCATCTGGTTAGTTACTGTCACTGTTCACCCTGTAGGCCAATCTATTGTGTGGTTAGTTACTGTCACTGTCCACCATGTAGGCCTGTCTGTTGTGTGGTTAGTTACTGTAGGTCTGTCTATTGTGGTTAGTTACTGTCACTGTTAACCCTGAAGGCCTGTCGGTTGTGTGGTTAGTTAGTTACTGTCACTGTTCACCCTATAGGCCTGTCTATTGTGTGGTTGGTTACTGTCATTGTTCACCCTGTAGACCTGTCTATTGTGTGGTTGGTTACTGTCACTGTTCACCGTGTAGGCCTGTCTGTTGTGTGGTTAGTTACTGTAGGTCTGTCTATTATTGTGGTTAGTTACTGTCACTGTTCACCCTGTAGGCCTGTCTGTTGTGTGGTTGGTTACTGTCACTGTCCACCGTGTAGGTCTGTCTGTTGTGTGGTTAGTTACTGTAGGTCTGTCTATTGTCATGATGAGTTACTGTCACTGTTCACCGTGTAGGCCTGTCTGTTGTGTGGTTGGTTACTGTCATTGTTTACCCTATAGGCCTGTCTGTTGTGTGGTTGATTACTGTCACTGTTCACCGTGTAGGCCTGTCTGTTGTGTGGTTAGTTACTGTCACTGTTCACCCTGTAGGACTGTCTGTTGTGTGGTTAGTTATTTTAGGTCTGTCTATTATTGTGGTTAGTTACTGTCATTGTTCACCCTGTAGGCCTGTCTGTTGTGTGGTTAGTTACTATCACTGTTCATCCTATAGGTCTGTCTACTGTGTGGTTAGTTACTGTTCAACCTGTAGGCCTGTCTGTTGGGTGGCTCAGTTGAGCCATAGAGGTGGGTTTGATTCTAGATTCAAAGGATGATGACTAAGGATCTCAATCCTCAGGGTTACCACAGTCTCTACTAGACCAGAAAGCCTAGCTGGGTTTTGTGGCTATATTTTTCTTCCTTCTCCACCCAAGATCTGCTACAGTGAATCCTTTCACAGTGGTGGAAGCCTGGCCCTATTCAACTTCTCAGGACTTGGAGTCTGGGAGGGTGAGGCTCACATGGTATGTTAGTCCTCTGCACTAATCATTTCTGTGTGTCTTTGTTTCTTTTCCCTCTTCATTTGCAGACAGAGAAGATCAATAGTTACACCTTGTTGCTGCTGTTGTTATATGCCATCAGGTCAAGTATGATCCACAACAACCCTACAAACAACAGATCTGAACTCTGTCTTCTTCTGTGCCATTCTTGCTGCAGTAACTGCCTATCCACCTGGTTGAGGGTCTTCCTTTCTTCACTGACTTCCACAAACATGTTGTCCCTCTCCAATAAATAGCCTCTCCTAACAAAATTCCCAAAGCAAAGTACGTAAGACAAAGCTTCACCATCCTTGCCTCTAAGGAATACTTGGGCTGTACTTTCTCCAAAACACGTTTGTTAAATGGCTGTATTTAATTATTATTTTAGTTCCTTAATGACTTAGGAAGCAGGAGGAGCATCCACTTCTGAAATAGCTTGCCTCTGGAAACTCTGTGAACTTGGAGAAATGATGAAAAGTTACACAAGTGTTCAGGTCTTTCATTCATAGGGTCACTATGAGTCGTCTATGACTCAATGACACTTACCAACATAGAGAGAGCTCTGTTGGTCTAGCGGATATAAAGTTATGCTACCAATCCAAAGATGATTTTAATCTGTAACCCTCAGGCCTGGTTTCAACTCTTTTTGGTCAAATATTCTTGTAAGTGGCATAACACTTGTCTGTCCATTTGTTGTACAGAAGTAACTAGTAGTTGCTGTGATGCTAAACACTGACACTGATGTGTCAAATGCGATAATGGTTACCCATAGTGGACAGTGTTTGGTGGAGCTTCCCAATTAAAACAAGCTTGGAAGCAAGAGTGGCATCCACTTCTGAAACAGCTTGCCTCTGGAAACTCTGTGAACTTTGAGAAATGATGAAAGTTATAGAAGTGTTCAGGTCTTTCATTCATACGGTCACTATGAGTCATCTCCAACTCGAAGGCACTTAACAACAACAACAATGACTTAGGGGCTTCAGAATCTTTTCAACTGTGCATTTATTAGCCCTTTGGATACGATCTTAGTTTTTATAGAGTTAGGGAAATAAGAAGATGCTAATAATAAGTACAATTCTGTCTGAAAGTGCCAAGACAACTAAGAGCTAGGCTGAAAGGATTTCAGGGCCAGGAACTGTGTCAATTCCTCTACTGCAGTCTTATCAGGACAGTGCGCTCAGAGGCTGCAGCTCCAAAATGCACCTGGTTAAGGGTTCCCCACTGATGGAAATTTAATCATGAATGATTTATTACCTGGTTCCTACATGGGGAAAATTATAGATAACAGGTATAGATATAGGTAGACATACTATCAGGACGTATTAATAGACAGAAACACACATGTAAATACCATCTGTGAGCTGCTAGGACCAAAAAATTCCTCAAAGGCCATCCAGGGTACTGGGCTAAGTTACAGGGGTCATAGACACCGACTGTTATCTGTGAACAGAAAATAAGCCAACAATCATGTCATATTCACAATACAGGCACTGCTACTACTTCATTGTCCCTTTTCATGAAGAAAGCAAGATGTTTCTGCAGGCTCACACTGAAGAACTTGTCATGGTGGGAGCTATCAACTACTTACCTGGACCCTCTCTGCCTTGTTCGAACCTTGTAGAGTAAGAACTAGACGGATTTAGAAGAAAGATAAGAAAGGGAAGAAGACAGTTAAAGCTGTCAAGACTTAATTACACAAAACCCATTCTTTTTTTACATTTTTTTAATTGTATTTTATTATTTTTGTGTGAGTGTACCGTCAAATCAGATCTAACTAGTACAGGAGGAGATTGTCCCTCCTTCCCCGGCAGAGCATCTGGTGGATTCAAACCGTGTGCCTCTGGGATTGTAGTTGCAGCTCTTTGCCACTAGGCCACCAGAGCTCCGCTACAAAACCCATTCTTAAAGGAATATAATCTGTGAAAACTGCCAATTTTTATGTAATTAAAAAAAAAATCCAAGAAGGGCCACTCCCTTGTAAGTCTATAAACACTGGGGTTGAGTTGGTTCCAATTTACAGTGACCCTGCACTGGGTTCCAGGACTGAACATTTATGGGAGCAGCTTTCTCATCTTTTTTTCCCCACAAAAAGCACTTAATGGGTTTGAACCATTGTGTTTTTGACTAGCGGTCTGACATGTTATGTACTAAGCCACGAGAGCTCCTATAGTCAGATCTGATTACTGGGTCAGGCACTCAGACACTACTAGCACACAACTCCTCTTATGCCACGAGAGCTCCTCAGTCAGAAGAGATTAAGACAGGCACCTAGACGTTGCTAATGCACACCTCCTCTCCTTTCTAGTTGCCAACTCTGATGTCTCTCAGGAAAATTCTACCATTTCTTCAGTGTAGACCTCAAAAAGTACATGTAACCACCATGATCTTTCTGCTTTGTTTGCTCTTCATATATATAACATTTTTCACTTTTTCAGTCCCTTTCATCTGAAAAATCAAAGAGCATCTAGCATCAGGATTTTTTTGAGAAATGACTAATTCTAAGGCTGGAGCAGGGAAAATACAAAATGTGCTTGTAGCATCTTCTGGTGCTATAAGGAAGTATTCCCAAAGTCAAAGCCCAGGGGCTTGGCAAGGGACATGGAGCCAACCCAAGGGAGTACTCAACAGCCAGCATTAGAACACTATGAACAATAAAATAAATAACACAGTATTGCATTTTATGGTATACCATCTATTCCTGGGGCCATATTTTTTGCTATTTCCTTCAAAGCAGCTTGAACGTCTTCCTTCATCACTGTAGGCTCTTGCTCATATGTGATTTCATAAAATTCTTCTGTGTCTGCCAATTCCTTTCGATACAATGACTGAGAATATTCTTTGCATCTTCTTTTAATACTTCCTGGATCGTTTAATATTCTGCCTAAAGCATCCTTGATTATAGCAACTCGAGGTTTGAATCTGTTCTTCAGTTTCTTGAGCTTAAGAAATGCTGAGCGAGTTCGGCCCTTTTAATTTTCTGACTCCAGCTCCTCGCACATTTCATTGTAATATTTTACTTTGTCATCCCGTGCTGCCTTTTGGAATCTTCTGTTCAGCTCTTTAGTATCTTGAATTCTTCCTTGTACTTTGGCTTCTCTGCGCTCCAGTGCAACCTTCAAAGTCTCTTCTGACATCCATTTTGGTCTTTTCTTCCTCCTCTGTCTTTGTATGAACGTATGCACTCTTTCTGGATGATACCCTTGATATTCTCCCACAACTCATCTGGTCTTTGCCATTCGTGCTCAAGGCCTCAAACCTGTTCTTGAGATAGTTCTGAAATTCAGGTGGGATAGACTCAAAGTTGTATTTTGGTTCAGGTGGATTCGGTTTAATTTTCCTCAGCTTCAGCTTGAACGTGCATACGAGTAGTTGGTGGTCTGTTCCACAATCAGCTCCTGGCCTAGTTTTCACGGCTGATATTGAGCTTCTCCAACAGTTCTTTCCACAGATGTAATCGATCTGATTCCTATCCATACTGTCAGATGAGATCCATGTGTATAACCTGCATTTATGCCTCTTAAAAAACGTGTTTGCAATGAATAAGTCATTGATTGTGCAACATTCTATCTCCAGCTCCATTTCTGTCACCGAGTCCATGTTTTTCAACTACTAATTCCTCTTCTTGACTGCATGTTCGATCGATCTCCAACTGTAAAAGTTGGCAGAAATCTTCTGCTTCCTCTTCTTTGGCTCTGGTTGTTGGTGCATATATCTGAATGATAATGGTATTCACTGGACTTCCTTGTATGTGAATGGATATTATCCTGTCACTCACAATACTGTACTTCAAGACGGTTCAAGAAATGGCTTTTCTAACTATGAAAGCAACCCCATTTTTCCTCACCTTTTCATCTCCGGAGTAGTATATCATATGATCATCTGACTCAAAATTCCCCATACCTGTCCATCTCATCTACCAATGCCTAGTATGTCAATATTTATGCATTCCATTTCCTCCTTAACAATCTAATTTTCCCATATTCATGGTTCTCACATTCCATGTTCCAATCATTAGTGTCTGCTTACAACTGTTCCTCTTCCTTTGTATTTCCACACTCAGTTGCCCTTTCTGTCATTCTACATGTGTTCTGTTGTACATAGGGTTTTCAGAGGCCTGCTATTTTGGAAGTGGATGGGCAATCCTTCTTCCTAGTGTGTCTTAATCTGAATGTTCAGATTTAGAAGTATCCAACAGATAAGCATTTTACAGAAAAAGTGATAATATATCCCTTATTGTGGAATTAAACATTACTTTCGGTGTTGTCCCTGCCCTTGGCACAAGTGTCCTGACCCACTTATTTCTTTGCTCCACCATCCATCAAGAAATCCCTCCACTTCTATCCACTCCCCTCAACATCTATCTCCTATTGTCCAGCCCTTGATATGATAGCTTATATCCAAAGCTTCCTTGGCTTTTGTGATTCCAGACTCGTCAGCTGCTAACAGTTTCTTATGCTGTGACCAGAGTCTCCTAAGTTCAGTGGTAATGTGTCCCAAACGAAGGTGATATGTCCTGTAGTCTGGTTAGTTTCTTTTTGGCCCAAGGAATAGATGGTATACCAATTGACATATTTCAGCTAATGGATGCTGCCCTGGACGTGCTCACCAAATTGTGTCAAGAAATCTGGAGAACAGCCATTTGGCCAACTGACTGGAAGAGATCTATATGTGTTCCCATTAAAGAAAGGTGACCCAACAGAGTATGGAAACTATAGAACAACAGCGTTGATTTTACATGCAAGCAAGATTCTACTAAAGATTATCCAAAAACAACTGGAACAGCACATCAGCAGAGAACTGCCAGAAGTCCAGGCTTTTTGAAGGGGTCGTGGTACTAGGGATATTGTAGCTAATGTTAGATGGATCTTGGTTAAAAGCAGGGAGTACCAGAGGAATATCTATCTGTGCTTCATTGATTATGCAAAGGTATTTGACTGTGTGGACCATACTAAACTGTGGCTGACTCTGAGAAGAATGAAATCCCAGAATACTTGATCATGCTAATGCGAAACCTATACTTGAATCAAGAGGCAGTTGTCAGAACAGAGCAAGGAAACACTGCATGGTTCAAAATTGGGAAGGGCGTGCACCAGGGACGTGTCCTGTCTCCATTCTCCATACCTTTTCAACCTATATGCAGAACAGATCATCTGGGAGGCTGGCTCTAAGAGGAGAAATGCAGCATCAGGATTTTTTGGTGGAAGATCTATCAACAATCTGTGTTATGCAGATGACACAACCCTGCTTGCTGAAAATGAGGAGGACCTGAAGCACTTGCTGCAGAGGGTCAAGGACTGCAGCCTTCAATATGGATTGAGGTTCAATGGCAAGGAGACAAAGATTCTGACCACTGGACCAATTGGCAGCATCAGGATGGATGGTGAAGAGATTGAGATTGTTCACAGCTTTAGTTTGCTTGGCTCCATAGTCAACAGTCTTGGCACCAGCAGCCAGGAAATTAAAAGGTGTATTGTGATGGGAAAGTCTGCTGTTAGGGACCTCTCTAAAGTACTGAAGAGCAACGGTGTCACTCTGGAGACTAAGGTGCATCTGATACAGGCCATGGTCTTTGCAATCATTCGTTATGCATCAGAGAGTTGGACAATGACTAGGAAGGATAGAAGGAGAATTGATTCCCTTGAGCTGTGGTGTTTGAGAAGAGTATTGAGGGTACCATGGACTGCTAGGAAAACAAAGACGATTCGTTCTGGAAAGGGTCAAACCGGGCTGCTCCTTGGAGGCAAGGATTCTAAGGCTCCATCTAAAATACTTTGGTCATGTTGTAAGGAGAGACCGGTCCTTGGCGAAGGACATCATGCTTGGGAGGGTGGAGGGGAGGTGCAGGAGGGGAAGGCCCTCTAGGAGATGGATTGGTTCGGTGACTGGGGTAATCGGGATGAATGTGTCAGAGACAATGAGACTGGCACAGAACAGAACAGAGTTTAGGGCTGTCGCTATGAGTCACAAGAGACTCGACAGCACATAACAACAACAACAACAACACTGCATTATATACCAAAGTACAAGATATGTGACTCAATACTGCTAATGAGAAATGACTGAGTCAAAAATTAAATGGGAGAAGGGACCACTCTTTCTAACAGAAGGGCTCCAAGCAACAGAATAGATTCTCATTCCCCACATGCAGGAGGTAGATTCAGTCCTGTTCCTTCTTTAAGGTGAGCTAGGCTAAGTGACTCACTTCAAAGAAAAATAAAAATTGGCATTTTCCAGTACTGACTTATCCAGTAACCCTCTGTCAGTTTTTTAGAAGGAGACTGAACTTTACAGTAATTGTTGTTGTTGTATTCTAACCCACAGCTGACTCACCAGTGGGTTTTCAGAGGCTGTAAATCACATGGGAAGAGAGAGACTATACTTCTTCTGTGGAACAACTGGTGGATTCAAACCATAGGCCTTTAGAATTGCAGGGCAGCTTCTTACCATGAGGCCACCAGAGTTTTCTGAACTTTACAGGAGGGAGAAAAAAAAAATCTGGCAAGTACTACCTTAACCAAGTGATGAAGATCAACATCATAAATGATGTAATACACTGCTGATATGATATCATGACAGAGTATTTTATACCAGTGGTACTTTTTCCAAAAACCTGTAAGATTAGTCTAATCATGAGAGACGCATCAAATAAGCCTAAATTGATTTTTTTCTTCTACAAAATACATGATTAGTATTTTTCAAAACTGTCAAGGTCATAAAAAAATAAGAGAAGCTTCAGTAATGGCCATAGGCCAGAAGCCTAAAGAGGTACAACAACTAGATACAATGTGCTGTCCTGGAGTGGACCTGGAACAGAGAGGTATTTGAAGGAAAAATTAGTAAAATCTGAGTAAAATCTGCAGTTCTCAGAAATGTACTAATTTTGGTTCAGTGTTGTTTGGTGCTGTGGAGTAAGTTTTCATTTCTATCAGCCCAGTGTATGACAGAATGAAATGCTACTTGGTCCCACACCACCCTCACCACCACTGTTACAATCCCAGGCCACACCACCTCACTGAGGATCCTGCTATTTCTTCATTGATGAGCTCCTCTTTCTCCCCTCTTTCTCAGCACACATTAGCACTTTCTCAGCACTCCATTAGCAACACATCTGTTAACAACAACAATGATACTGGGATTCTTTTAGGTGGTCACAGAAGAGCAGTTCATGTGAAAACTAAGAGAATTCTAAAAAACAGTCTAGAACTTCCTCTAAATTATGAAGGTGGCAATAAGAGAGACGCAAATCAAAACCACAATGAGGTAACATCTCACTCCAATAACAGTAGCAATGTTTAAAAGGGCAGCAAGTAGTAAATATTGGAGAGGATGTGGTGAGAAAGGAACTCTTATACATTGTTTATTGGATTGTAAAATGGTACAACCACTCTGGAAGACAGTTTGGTGCTTCCTCAAAAAGCTGAACATAGAAATTCAGTATGATCTAGCTATTTATTCCACTACTTGGAATATACCCTAAGAAAATGAGAAATGAGGCACAGAGAATAGTACACCAATGTTCATAATAGCATCATTCACCATAGCAAGAACATGGAAACAGCCCAGATAGCCAACCTAAACGAATAGATTGAGAAATTATGGTACATTCACACAATGGAATACTACAAAGCACACAGGAGCACTGATTTTGCAAATTATTACCTAACTTGTATTGGACTGGAAAGCATTATGCTGAGTGAACTAACTTAGTACCACAAGGATAGATATTATATAAAATCATTATTGTAGAATGAGTATAAGGATCCAAGGGGGAAGGTAGAAGCAGAGGGATGAGGATGTGCAGGGGGAGAGGAATTAACCATGGAGTTGTACAATTTGATGAGTGGTGGGGTGAGGGAAATTCAAAGAATCTGTTCTGGAAAAGAATGCATTTGAATTTTGTAAATAAACTAGTATAATTTAAAGGATATAGATTTTTTTTTTAAAAAAAACAAGATCACTGAATTAACTATCCCTAAGAGGAACTGAAGGATGCACAAACTCCCCTGAGGGGGAACAGGTGCAGGAAAGCCTGTAGGAAGAGCAGGAGTGAGAAAAGAGAGAGATAAAGAAGGATTTAAAATCACCCTATGCATGGCTAACACAAAATCTCAAATTTTGCAGTGGCCTGTTGTAAAGTGAACTAATATTTTTCTTTTTCCTGGGTAATACTGTGATATTCAAATTTCTCTGACCTTTCTCCTTTGACCTTGAAGAAAATCCCTGCAGTGTTTAAGCTGAGAGACCAGCACTGTGCTCTCCTCATACTTGATTAAGAAGTACGGTAGAGCAGTGACTCCTTCTCTGTGACACAGATCGTCATATGCACACTCAAGGGCTTGAATCTGAAAGACAGAAACATTGAGCCATTTTCCAGACAATTCCATATCTACTAGCTAAAAATGAACATAAACAGAAAGGCAACTCCAGCTTGGAAGACCAGAAATGACTAATCACATTTCTGTTACTCTTTTTTAGCAACTGAACATAAAAGTGCCCCAATTCATGTCATGTAAATTTTACACAACTTCCAGCCTGGCTGGGGCTGTGTCTGAGACAGGGACACAAAGCAACAGCATGGAGCTTCCCTGTGATGTCAGTTAAAAGGGTTAGAGAGGTATCCAAACATTCTTTCCTTTTTGTAATGGCATATATTTATCTCTTATGAATATCACCCAACATGACTCAACTATTTATAAAATTTACTTTCCATAATATTTTTCAAAATTGTTTTATTGAGACATAATTTCCATACTGGACAAGTGACCCATTTAAAGAGTTCAGTGGCTTATATTATAAACCCAGAGTTGTGCAAGCATACATTTTTGTCCGTTTTAAAAGAACTTCCACTCCCATTAGCTGTTAATTTCCATACATCTTTTTTCTTGGGTTACATAAAATCACTACCTTTGATCTATTCTAATGCCAGTTCTAACTCTTAATCAGGAAGGGCTGCTCCCTGGCTTCAGCATGTACAGTATTGGTCATTGATACACTTCATGGATTCAGTCCACCTTGCCACTCAATACTTGCCTCACTAACAATCAAAATTCTTTAGTACGTCTCTCTTCTACCAGCCTATTTACCCTGTTCTTCATAGGCTCATCTCTAATGATCATCTTTCTTAAAAGGTAGAAACTAGCTCTGCAAAACTCATTGCTGATGTATTAATTTTGCAACTTGGTGTGAGGGTAGACAAGTTTGTAACAACACTCTGTGAGGATACTGGGCATTTCTGCATTCCACGAACCGACATCATGATCCTGGCTCCTTTCTTTGGAGAATAGAGAGCACAGCACTAACTGTATCATCATTTAACTAAAAAGGAAGCCTTCTTTCCTAAATACATTACTTTATATTTCCTTATAATAAAACTGAAAATCACATTTTGGTAAATGCTGATAGTCTTTCAAAATGACCCTATATATCCTTCCTATTTGCAAAGCATGTCACCAAATGCCACTGAAAACCTGAGAAATTCCTGTTCAGATACCCTCCGAGTGATTTAACGAAACTCTCTGAACAGATTTTTCTACTCCAAGCATCCTACCATCTTGAGAGGATTCCAGCATTACTGCCATGTTCATCCAAAGTAGTCTGTCTTCAGAATGAACTAGAGTATTAACTCTTGCACATTAAACCAAATTTTCCATGCATTTTGTTCTATTTTCTGATACCTGTTCTGGTGAAAATCTTTGATGCAAACCCACTGGCTCCTGGATCAGAGGTATACTCTCTGGCAGGCAGAGTGCAGGGTAGCAAAACCAATAGTAGAAATGGTATTTCTTTAGATCCTAGTAAAACAGAAACCAAGATATTAGAATAGCACTAACAGATAAACAGCATCTGAGCCCACTTACATGAAATATCCACAACAGATAGAGCCATTAAGACATAAGACGAGGGGAGGGGGGAAGAAAAAAAGACAAAAGATGGTGGGTAATGGGAAGATGGGAAAGTGTGGAAGGAAGAAGGGATGGGAAAAGTCACGATAGTGTTCACTTAAAATTGGTGAACTATATTTTAGGTCCTGACTGTTAAGCTGAAGAGTGAAGGTTCAAATTCAGTCAGTGGCCCATCAAAAGAAAGTTCCTAGCAATCTTGTGTTAAGATTCCAGCAAAGAAAACCTTGCAGACTTAGCAGCTCTTCCCTGTATCATGTTGGGTTGCCAAGAGTCACAACTGACTTAAAGGCAGCTATCACCACAACAGATTCTACAACAAATGTTCAATTAAAAAATTAACTCCATCTACAAATACAACTTCTCATAGCCTCTTAGCACAGAAAAGCTTTACACCACAAAACATGACCAGCATGTCAACTATTTTCATCTCTATAGAGATCATCTCTTTATCCCACAATACTCCTTTATGAACACAACATACACTAATATGACAACAAAAAATATACTTTTATTGGCCACTGGTTAACACAGAAAATATTAAGTGGTTGACACTTTGTCACCAATGATTGCATAATACGCAAAATCACTGTGAGAAGAATTATTAACCCACTTCATATGTGTTTCTAAACTGAAGCTTAGAGAGGGGTAACAAAACAAAGTTGGTAGGTGGCAGAGAAGGGATAATTAGACCTTGCCTCCCCAGTTATGTCATAAATAGAGTTCTAGTGACCTAGTGGTAAAGAGCTGCACTGCCAACCCAAAGGTATGTGGTTTTAATCCACCAGCTGCTTTTCAAGAGAAAGATAGGCAGTCTCTTCTCATGCAATTTATTGCCTCTGAAAACTCACTAGAGGGTCAACTATGGGTCACATTCAACTCAAGAACACACACAATAGGACAAGAAATATCATAAATAAGGAATCTCTGGTAGCCTAGTGGTAAGGAGCTTCACTGTCAACTCAGAGATATGCAGTTCAAATCCACCAGCTGTTGTATGAGGGACAGATGGCCAGTCTCCTCTTCTGTGATTTCCTGCTTCTGAAAAGTCACTGGAGGGTGAGGTGTGGGTCAGTTCCAACTTTATGGCATATTATATAACAACAACATATCATAAATATTCAGCATACCTTCAGTGGAGGCACAAATAAAAAATACAGTAAAAATCACTTTCTAAAAAAATGACTTAAGACAAAAGAAGCTGTGCTAATTGTATACCTGATAGCATTATTTGTCAAGTCTCTGGAGACTCTGCTCCACAGAAGAAAGAGTGGCAATATCCTTGGACACCAGTTAGAGGGTCAGCTGTGAGTCAGTTCCAACTTGCCAGCAATGAATTTTGAGGGAGCTCTGGTGGCCTAGTGTTAAGGGGCTGCCCTGCCAACCCAAAGGCATGTGTTTGAATCCACCAGTTGTTTTACAGAAGAAAGACGGGCAGTCTCCTCCCATGCTATTTATTCCCTCTAAAAACCTGCCGGAGGCTAAGCTATGAATTGGCTTCAATTCAACTGTACGTGACAACAGCAACAATGACATGGCTGAGATAATAGGTTTCAGAAAATTTTTAAATTTAAGTTAACAACAATTGATCAGTTGTTGTGTACAAAGACCACATCAGTTGGGCGTGCTGTGGTGTATGGGGTATTTTGCTGACATGTGTGCTGTTGGGATGCTGGAAACTACACGACTGATGTTTTAAATACCAGCAGGACCACCCAAGGTGATCAGGGATCATACAAAGATGGACTAGGAAGAACATCAGCCAATAAAAACTCTAAAGATCATAAAACAATTATTTTCTAATCTAGTGATGAGTTCTGGTTTGGAAAGTCCTTGAAATATTCATGGCATGGCAATGAACTGGAGAATACAGTGACAATCACAAAGATGACATAGGGCCTGTCAATATTTTGTTCTACTGTACATTAAGTCCTTAGTTAGAGCTGACTTGATGACTATTAATAACAACAACATAAATTAACATGACACTAACAATAAAAGATGAGCAGATCCATTCTGAACTCAGGACAGAGAAAAAGAGAGTGTATGACTAAGTACAGGAGTCATGGAGGGATCTCAGGACTGAGGATCACCAGTGACATGAGGTTTTGTCCTCACTGGAGTTCCCACCAGGGAGAGAATGCAGAAGACCAGAACCCCAAGGCTGTCTATCCTCAATGCTACCCCCTTCAGACAGCATGTGACTGAACTCCGCCCAGGGAAGTCTCACGTGGTGACATGGGCTGATTCCTACCGTTTCATGATTACTGACCACACATGCAGTTTATCCAGGTAATCAGTATTTCTTTTCTGAATCTTGTTAATAATGAAAATTAAGCAGCTATTGTTGTTGTTGTTATGTGCTGTTGAGTCACATGCAACTTTTTTACTGAGGTAGAATTTATATACTATATATTCCATCACTTTATGTGGAATCAATAGATGATTAATAACATTATGAAACAAAGTGTGCATTATTGATTGGCGGGGGGAAACCACACACAGTATGCTTCACACAAATCACACTAAAAATATTTTTGAACATTCATCATTTTAAAGTGCACAAATTTTGTGGGTTTACTGTATTGCCACGACTGTGCTAAGAGTACTACTAATTTAAGAATACTTTAATCAACCCAGGAAGAAATTTCATACCATTTGGCAGTCACTTTGCACTTGGCTCTCTTCCCAGTCTCAGGGAACTACTAATTTCCCCACTCCTTCTGTAGATTTGCCTATTCTGGACTTTTAGAATAAAATTCTCTTTAAATATAGTTTTTTTAAAAACTTTTAAAGCAAATTTATTTGTGTCCAAATAAGATAATCAAATAATTCACATTTCTTTAGTTTCTAATTCTGTCAATAATTTATCAACTAAAATCATACTCTTTTTAATAAAGGGAAAGCAAAATGCAATATTGAAATTGTCTGTTTCTTTAAGTCCTAAAAATGGCAGAAAAGAAAGCAAAAACATCTTCAGGAATCTCTTAATATTTAAGTGATTTGTCATAACTGATCTTTAGAAAAAGGTTAAATAATTCAAGATAAAGGATTTCACAATTTCTACGATGCTTTATGGATCATCTTCAAAAGTCAAAAGGCTTAGATTTTTTAGGATTCTCTTGGGATACAAAAGACTTCAATTAACTTTGAAGATTACAAAAGATTAAGAGTCATTTTAAAGCCAGCTAAAAAAACACTCAATAAAATGGGCAAAAAGCCAATACATACTGGAAATTGCCTTAAGATCAGAGTACCGCATTAAAAAGTGTATTTTCACCTAAGTTCGAAATCAGAATCCCAGGAAGCTCCAGTGATATAGTAGGTAAGGAATTGCAAGCAATTCTAATCCACCAGCTGTTCCATGGGAGAAAGATGGACAATCTCCTCCTGTGCAATCTACAGTCTCTGAGAACTCACTGGAGGGTCTACTGAGATGGTTCCAACTCAACACAGTGAGAGGAAGAGAGAGCTACAGCATCCCTGTCACAGAAAATGTACAGATGGTGCAGCAACAAACCCAAAAATGTTTACTCTAACCTATACCTAGCCTAGTAGGGAAGAGATCAAACTACTCAAATTTACAGACAAATTAGCAATACTGAAAACAGGATCCTTGGTGGTTTGAACACACTTAAAGGAGGCTCAGAAGACAAGTTAATGGTCTCCTTCTGAAAAGCCATCTCCATGGAGTATATAGCTCTACTCTGCACATGGAGAATGAACATGAGGTGGACCAAACTCAATGGCCACTGCAGACAACAAACCTAATGAGGAACATCAACTTTGTTTTTAATTTGGAACACAAACACTTTTTGTGTCTCCCTATTATTTCTTACTACTTCTACTACTCATTACTGTCAAGTTGAAACCAATTCATAGCTGACCTTCCACTGGGTTTCTAAGGTCATAAAATGCAGGGAGGAAATAGGCCACTTTTCTCCCTCAAAGCTGCTGGTGGACTCGAACTTCCAGAAAGAAAGTGTGTTCTTTTGGTTAGCAGTGCAACACCCTGTGGACTATGCCACCCTTGGGTAGGGCTTCCAGCTTGATTCCATTCTCCCCTCTTGTTGAGGCCAGTAAACCAGGGAGGCTACATGCAGAAGAATGGATTCTTTCCTGCTACAGGAAGAAAAGCAAACCTTACGCCTAGGGAAAAAGGCGGGCAGGAGAATCAATAGCTGATGCTGAGGAAGCTGTGGAGAAACACTACACTCAAAAAAGAACGTGTGTGTGTGTGTGTGTGTGTGTGTGTGTGTGTGTGTGTGTGTGCGCGCGCGTGCGCGCGCGTGCATGTGTGTGTATCACAAAAACAAGGTAAAATGAGCAGGGGAATAGCATTACAGTCAATATTTTTCATTGCAGCACCTTTCATAATAGTGAATACTGGGGGAAAAACCAACAACAAACCACTAACCGTAACTGTACAAATCTATGGAACACACATGTGCCAGAATATCAGCTCCCGTAATTACAGACTAAATCAGTTGCACACACAGCACACTACACACACACATGCAGTGTGCATGTATATCCACAAGCATAAGGAATCTCCCCAGTCAGCCATTACTTTATGACCTCCTTCATCACCATCAGGTTCTTCCCTCCAATTTATTAGTCCCACTTTGCTAGGCGGCAGAGAGTACTCTGCCATGATTAATTTCCTTCTTTAGGGCTCTTAATGCTCATTTCCATTTAACCTCATGATTTCAGATAGTAAATAATTTTACTTTTCTTTTTTAGAAAACTAACAAAAGTTGACTGGGTGGTCAAGCCCTGTAGCACAATCTCCACTGACTTAGCAACCCAACCTCTCTGTATGCTGATGGGCATCAGCAGAACTTTGCAAAGTTCAGATCTTTGCTCTGAACAAAGACACTACTCAAAACCCAAATCCAATCTAGTGCTGTGGAGTTGGGTCACCATGCTGGATGGGCTTCTGCAGCTGCCAACACTGTGAGTGAATGAATAGACTTGGCACTGGGAATAAGGACCAAGCACCTCTGGCTACTTGCAAAATGGCCATCTCTTTAACAGCTGTCACTCGAATGTCCCAAGTCAAGCATTTCACAGAGCAAAGGTGACAGTGCTGCGGGTCCAATGGGTCTCGCTGGGGGCTTTCTCTCATCTCGATGACAGAAAGTGCATATACTTACTGCGAATGTCAGGAGGAGGAACTTGTTGAGAAGTACAGGGCTTTCAAGAGCAGTGCCTGATGTTATTGATTCCCATATCTGCCAGAAGAAAGAAATGTAGCGATGCGGGTTATGAAGCATCTGACAGCTTCTTACCTCGGGACAATATGGAGCTTTAAGTCCTTAAGCTCATTTTCCTGGCAGTTATGGCACAACTCCTTCTCGGTTACCAAGCAGGCTGTTGCCTCAGCCCGTTGCATCAGCACTGCCTCTTCACCAGCTCCACTCCCCTTGGAAAATGAAACAACCCAGATGCCTCCTTTCTGCGGGTCCCAGCATCAGAGATGTTACCTTCACACCTTCATTATTTCCTTCAACAAATACTGCCTATTCTAGTCAGAGACACAAGAGTCATGAACATAAAGGACATAGCCCATAGTCGCAAGAAGCTCACAGTCTAGCAAAGGAGACGGACTTGGATGATCCTGAGCACCATGCAGAATTCCTAGGAAAAGCATCAGCTGTGACTCCTGGCAATGCCACTTACATCAGAGTAGAACCACATGGCACACACTGTCCAATGGCTGGTTTTTTGGAAGCAGATGACTAAGACTGCGTTCCATGGTGTCTGAGTGAGGAGTCAAACTACTATCAGTTAGCAGCTGAGTGTGCTGAACACTTTCATTCCTCAGACCTGCGGAAGCCCTGGAAGGAACACTAAATTCAGCAAGAGCAGATGGAGGATGACAGTCAGAGTTCTTGGAAAATAAGATCCGAACTCACATGGAGAGAATTTCTCAGTGTTAAAGTATCTTTCCTGGAGAGATGAGGATAGAACAAACTTCAAGTCTGTGTATACTAAAGGAGCTTTGTGACTGAAAGCAAAAGGAACAGCTGTTACTGGTTAGCAGCTGCTGAGTGTGACATGCTTTAATAATTAAGAGTGATCACTCAGTTTGTGTCACAGAGCAAGCAAATGAAGCAAGATCAGCCAGTAAAACCCATTCCTCAGTAAATGAGCAAAGATAAGCAGGTTTCCTCTTCCAGTGAAGGAAATGGGTGTGAGAGCTCAGAAACTGCATGTGAAAGAGGTAAGAGAAGCCTTCCTAAGGACCAAAAGTGTAACTACAGCTAGATGACAACCTTCTGCAACCTCTGCACTCAGAGAAATAAGATTCTCTTTCTTCTGAGTGTTGTTGTAGTTACGTGCCATCGAGTCGCTTGCAACTCATAGCAACCCAATGTATAAGAGCCCTAAACCCTGTTCTATCCTGTACCAATCTTACTGTCTCTGACACACCTACTGCCATTACCCCAATCACTGAATTGATCTATCTCATCAAGCGTCTTCCTGTCCTGCACTGTCCCTCCACTCTCCCAAACATGATGTCCTTCTCCAAGGACTGGTCCCTCCTTGCAACATACCCAAAGTATGTCAGATGAAGCTTCAGAATCATTGACTCCAAGAAGCAGCCCGGCTTCACCCACTCCAGGACAAACCTGTTTGTTCTCCTTGCGGTCCACAGTATATTCTACACTCTTCTCCAGCACCACAGTTCAAAGGCATCAATTCTCTTTCTATCATCCCTAGTCACTGTCCAGCTCTCTGATGCATTGCCAGCAATTGCAAAGATGATAGCCCAGATCAGGCACACCTTAGTCACCAGCCTGACATCGTTGCTCTTAGTACTCTGGAGAGGCCCCTGACAGCTGACTTTCCCAATGCAATTCATCTCTTGATTTCTTGGCTGCTGGTACCAAGAGTACTGACTGTGGAGCCAAGCAAACTAAAACTGTTATCACAATCTCTTCACCATCCATCTGATGTTGTCAGTTGGCCCAGTGGTGAGAGAATTTTTGTTTTCATGATGTCGAGCTTCAATCCATATTGAAGGCTGAAGTCCTTGACCTTCTGCAATAAGTGCTTCAGGTCCTCTTCAGTTTCACCAAGCAGGGTTGTGTTATCTGCATAATGCAGGCTGTTGATGAATCTTCCATCAGTCCTAATGCCACAATCCTCCTCGTACAGCCCAGCATCCCAGATTATCTGTTCTGCATACAGTTTGACAAGGTATGAAGACAGAATACATCCCTGGTGGACTCCCTTCCCAATTTTGAACTATGCAGTGTCTCCTTGCTCTGTTTTGACGACAGCCTCTTGGTTCAAGTATAGGTTTTGCAATTAGCACAATCAAGTGTTCTGGGATTCCCATTCTTCTTAGCATCAGCCACAGCTTGTTGTGATCCACACAGTCAAAAAAGCCTTTGTATAGTCAATGAAGCACATTCCTCTACTTTCTGCCAAGATCCATCCAACATTAGCTATAATATCCCTAGGATCATGACCTCTTCTAAACCCAGCCCGCACATCTGGCAGTTCTCTGTTGACATGTTGCTCCAGTCATTTTTTGAAAATTTTCAGCAGAATCTTGCTTGCATGTGATAGTAATGATATTGTTTGATAATTTCTGCACTGTCAGGCCACCTTTCTTTGGAATGGGAACAAATAGTGACCTCTTCCAGTTAGTTGGCCTCCAGATTTCTTGGCACAACTTTGTGATCAAATCCAGGGCAGTGTCTGTTTGTTGAAATATGTTAATTGGTATGCCATCAATTCCTAGAGCCTTGTTTTTTGGCAATTCTTTCATAGCAACTTGAACATCCTCCTTCATCACCACAGGCTCTTACTAATACGTTATTTCATTACAATCTTCTCTGTCAGCCAATTCCTTCTGGTACAGTGACTCTGTATACTCCTTCCATCTTCTTTTAATATTTCTTGGATCATTTAACACTCTACCCAAAGCATCCTTAAGTAATGCCACTTGTGGTTTGAACGTGTTTTTCAACTTCTTCAGCTTAGGAAATGCTGAGCGAGTTCAGCCCTTTTGATTTTCTGACTCCAGCTCTTTGCACATTTCATTATAGTATCCTGCTTTGTCATCCCAATCTGCCCTTTGAAAATTTCTGTTCAGCTCTTTAATTTTTTGATTTCTTCCTTTCTAGTGTCAAAAACTGTCAAGCTGGAACTGATTCACTTTACTCTACAACTGGTTTCCAGAGGTTGTAAACCACACAGAAGACTTCCCCTATTTCTCCTGTGGAGCACCAGTGGATGCAAACTTTGGGTTAGCAAGGTAACTTCCTACAGACTACAGCACCAGAGCTCCCTGAAGACCGTTCAAGTAGGTAGACTGAGGCAAATTGTCCCCCTTTACCCTGTCCACTTAATTTTGTTTTTTACCCTGTCTACTTTAATTTCTAATATCACACACAGCAAAATCTTGCTTAAAATTAGCCAAAAGTGACTGGAACAGTACATCAACAGACAACTACCAGAAGTACAGGCTGAGTTTAGAAGAGGCTGTGGCACTAGGTACACTGTAGCCAATGTCAGATTGATCTTGGCTGAAAGCAGAGAGTATCAGAGGAATATCTGTGTTTCTCTGACTATGCAAAGACATTTGAACTGTATGGATCACAACAAATTGTGGTTAACCTTGAGAAGAATGGGAATCCCAGAACACTGGACTTTGTTGATGCAAAATCTGCACTCAGACTAGAAAGTAGACATCAGAACAGAGCAAGGAAACACTGCATGGTTCAAAATAAGGAAAAGAGTGTGTCAGGAATGTGTCCTGTCTTCACACCTTTTTAATCTTTATGCAGAATGATCATTCAGGAGGCTGGATTTTATGAAGAGGAATGTGGCATCAGAATTGGAGGAGGACTCATCAACAACCTGTGTTATACAGATGACACAACCTTGGTTGCTGAAAGTGAGGAGGACCTGAAGCATTTGCTGCAGAAAGTCAAGGATTGTAGTCTTCAATATGGACTGAAGCTCAATATCAAGAAGACAAAGATTCTCCCTACTAGGACAATTGGAAGCATCATGATAGATGGAGATTTAAGTTGTTAATAATTTTATACTGCTTAGGCCAACAACACTTTTGGAACCAGCAGTCAAGAAATCAAAAGATGAATTTGATTAGGAAAAGTGTCCTGCCAGGGATTTCCTAAAAGTGTTGAAAAGGAAAGATGTAAATCTGTAGACTAAAGTGCACCTGATTCAAACCATGGTCTTCATAATTACTTGATATGCATTAGAGCTGGACAATGACTTAGGATGACAAGAAGAATTGATGCCTTTTAGTTGTGGTGTTGGAGAAGAATATTGAACACATGCCTTGGACTGCCAAGAGAATAAACGAGTCTATTCTGGAGAGGGTAAAACCAAGCTGCTCCTCAGAGGCAAGGATTTTGAGGTTCCATCTGACATAATTTGTACATGTTGCCAAGAGGGACTGATCCTTGGAGAAGGATATCATGTTTGGAAGGGTGGAAGGACAGCGCATGAGAGGAAGATGCTGAATGAGATATACTGACACAGTAACTGTGGAAATGTGGGCAGGTGTTATCAGAGAAAGTGTGAGTGGCTCAAGATAGGACAGGGTTCAGAGCTATTGCGCACAGGGTTGCTATAAGTCACAATGACTAGACAGTATACAACAACAGCTTTAATTTCTCTGATTCAAATGTGAAGAAGTTAAGAAAGACATTCCAGAAAGAGAGCATGTTAAATGAATGGAGGAGGTAACAAAGTGTCAGAGGAATTAGACATAATCAGCTGTCTCTGAGTTACAGAACGCAAAAAGCCAGCAGATGGTTAGGCATAGTGCTAAAAATCAGACTAAGTATTTCAGATTTAGTCCTTGAAGGGATGTAGAAACTATATGGTCATTTCTTACGTAGTGCTTAGAACTTAGAAAGCCTCTCCAAGGGGCACAAAAACCACAGCCCCAGCCTCAGCCAGGCACAGGAACACAGAAGCCAAGGGCTTCCATGAACCCACTTGAAGACCAGCTGCAAAGCTGGTTCAAGTACTCACTATGCCATCACATATTTGTGGCCCATCTCTGGGTGGAAGACTGCACGTCATCTCTCCTGATCATCTCACCAACACAAAAGGAGAGAGCTGGGATTATTCTCTACAGGGAGGACAAATCAATACCCACAAACACTTTTTAATCCCTACAGCTTACTCATTTCTTTGATAAACCCATTGCGCTGATTAAAAAAACACTACATATACCAGGACCAAACGAAATATGAGAGATGCATTTTGTTTTTCTATCTGACCTCATTTGCTGCTTGGTCCAAAAGTTGTTTCTTGTCTGCAGTCTTGAAGGACTCAAGCGTATTTGTGTTATACAGTGTTCCAACAGCTGGACAGCAATGGGCTGGGGTAGGAGCATTCCTAGAGATGGGAGAAATATGATTAACTAGACCCAGCTTAGATTCAGAAAAGGCCAAAAATCAAACAAAATATACCAACCCACTGCATTAAGTGCATTTCTAACCGTGGAGACTCCATGTGCGCTAACGTTGAACTGCTCCACAGGGTGTCCTTGGCTGTAACCTGAACAGAAAGGAATTCCAGCGGCATGATGGTTAGACAATTGGTTAATACTCGAAAGGCTGGTGGTTCAAATATACCCGTGACTGTTTCCCACTTCTATAAAGATTACAGCCAAGAAAGCCCTAGGAAGCAGGTCTACTCTATCACATGGGGGCACTGTGAGCCAGAATAAAAGGGAAAGCACCACCAGCAATAACTATGAAGACCACTTCCTCTGCCCTTCTTCTGGTGCCCCATCTGTACCCCCCAAGCAGAGAAAGCCAGCGAGAGGGGGTCAGAGGGCATTGGTGCAAACACAACCTGAGGCTCCTCATAGAAAGGCCTGCCCTCTGCTCCCACCAAGACAATAGGCACAAAACCCCCGTGGGGATCCTACTTGGCCTGGAGGTGGTATGAGTCAGAATCGACACAACAACAACAGGGGAGGGGCCAGTTCCTTCCTTCAGTGTTTGAAGTTTTTGTCTTTCTTTCCCCTTCACACTCAATGTTTCAGAATTGTCAACTTTATCTGTTATCTTTGTGTGCTGGAGACTTCTGTGAAGAGGGTCTGTCTGCTCCTCCAACTTTCAGGACAGATCTTGAAATGTTCTTTTTTATGATGAAAGATAACACTTTAGTGTTAGATTAATTTTTCTTAGCAAAGTAAATCATATGAATGTCTGATTGAAAATGCCTAAGACAAGTCCATCTAAGCTCAAAAATGCTTAGAATGTTTCCCATTTCTTTTTTTTTTTTTTTTTTACAAATTCTAGCTTTCCTACTTGGTATGTTCCAATTATTAACAGATGTTTTTAGCTGTTTCTCTTCATTTTGAATCTTGCCACCTTAGTAAATGCAGGTCCTTCTTTGGGTGAAAGTTTCATTCTGAGTCATTAAGGTAGACTCTGTGCTTGAGAGGGCAGCTTTTCCTCAGCTACATTTAGGTGTAGATGTCAAGTCTCTAGCCTTCAGTTTGGGAGCTCTAGGGGCCTACATAGGGAGCTGTGGGGGCACAGTGGTAAGAAACTGAGTTGCATTCCCAAAGACATATGGTTCAAATCCACCAGCTGCTCCACAGAAGGATGGGCAATCTCTTCCTGTGCAATTAACTGCCTCTGATAACCTGATGGAGGGTTATCTATGGGTCGTTCCAACAGAACAGTTCACAACAACAACAAAAGTGGCCTTCATGGGAGCCCTGGTGGCTTTGTGGTAAGGACTTGCTCTGCCAACTCAAAGGTATGTCATTCAAATCCATTAGCAGCTCTGCAGGAGAAAGATGGGCACTAACTCTTGTGTGTGATTTACTGCTTCTGAAAGCCTGCTAAAGGGTCAGCTCTGAGGTGATTTCAACTCAATGGTACACAACAAGAACAGGAGTGTAGTGGTAAATAAATTCCTGTGCTGGAATCCCAAAAGTGTCTGCTCTGCCACAGAAAGACGGACAAACTCCTGTGTGATTTACTGCCTCTAAAGAGCCACCCGGGGTGGGGGGGTGGGCAGCAATGAGATGGTTCTGACTCAATGGTTCTGACTTAAACTTTCATGATACCAGGGATCAGGTTATCTTCTTGCTCATATGCCCTAGTGCCTGCCTACCACAGTTAGGTAACATGCAGCTGTTCAACAATTACATGGAAAAATATGCCAAGTACAATAAAGAAATTCGTGTCCAAGTTAGAGTCACAAGATTTTAATCTCTAATACTGGAAATATATGGATTACTGAAATTTAGTATGTTTGGATTTTATAAGATTAAACTTCTGTAACTGGTTTCTTCCCCACCCCCAGAATCATACCAAACAATAAAATCATTACATTTTCTTTTTCAAACTTCAATCTCATATCAGAATTAGAGTTGGAGCTAGGATAGCCTGGGCTAGACACAACAACCACCAGATTACATCAAAAACACACTCCCAGAATTACTCCTTTCCCATCTTCAGATAATTGAATGATTGCACATTCTCAGTATATTTTTCATTATAATTTAATTTCTCCAAATATAAGTTTTAATGTGCTGTTGAATCAGAACCAACTCATAGCCAACCCTCCAGTGGGTTTTGGAAGCTATAAATCATGAGACAGAAAACTGCTCATCTTTGCCCCTCAGAGCAACTAGAGGACTTGAACTGTGGCAACACAATTTCTTACCCACTAGACTACCTTTGCCAAGACAGGAGGCAGAATATTAAAAAAACAAAACACAACACTAAAGAATTAATGTTGAATTCACTCCTACTCATCGTAATGCCATGTGTTATAAAGCAGAACTGTGTTCTTCAGAGTTTTGTACTTATTAACACTTTCTGGTGGGGTTATTTTTTTAATGAAGGTTTACACAACAGTTTAGATTTCCATTCAATAATTTCTATGCAAATTGTTCCATAATATCACATTTTTCACAATATGTGAACAGTCTCATTGCTTCTATTCCAATTGTTTCTTTCTCATTAATCTAGTTTTCCTGTTTCCTTTCCTCCTTAATTAGATTTATGGTAACTGATGATTATTTATTCTTATATGTTGTTGTTGTGGTGTACCATCGAGTTGGAACCAATCCCTAGCTGACCCTCTGACACATAGCTGACCCTCTGGTGGGTTTTCAGAAGCAGTTAAACATAAGGGAGGAGACTGCCCATCTACCACAGAGCTGGTGGCCTCAAACCACATTCCTTCGGGATTGCAGCACAGCGTCTTGCCACTAGGCCACCAGAGCTCACAGTCTCACAAAGATGATATTTTAAAGGAGCATGGCATCTATGGATAATAATCTTTGTGAGCCATTCTTTGTATTTCGCTAAATGGAAACATTGGTGGTAGTTTCCATCCAAGGTTTAAAAAGATCATCTCAGGGTAATATTGTTGGAAAGTCTTCCAGTCTCAACTGGTCTATAAAGTGTTTTTAATGGCTGGTTTTTAGGAAGCAGATTTCCAGGACTTTCTTTCTACTGAGGTGCATCTGGGTGAACACAAACTATCAACTGTAAACCTGAGGGCACTGGAAGAGGCTCTGTTGTTGTGGTGGTTGTGTACTGTTGAGTTGGAATTGACCATAGCTGACCCACCAATGGGTTTTCAAAGGCAGTTAATCACACGGAAGGAGACTGCCCATCCTTATCCCATGGAACAGATGGTGGCCTCAAACTGCAGGCCTTCCAGATTGCAGCACAGCTTCTTGCATCAAGGCCACCAGAGCTCCCTAGCATTTAATTGGTTTTGATAAACTATGACAATGAATTTAGGAAGGCACAAGAAAGCTATGGAAAAAAGGGAACATCAACATGTACTTCTTAAAGACACAAAGATTAACATCCTTTTACACACACACACACACACACACACACACACACACACATTAAGCTATTAATTTTGAAATTTGGGGGGGAAAGGATCAAAACAAGTCTACTCTTGGATATATAACAAGACAAAAAAATTTTTAGTACTTTATTTGAAATACATATATTTTAACTTCTGCCAGTTTGAAAAGCAGAGTATTCCTTAAACTTGGACTTCTTCACCCAAATACCTTACGTGGCATTGCTAAACAAAGACAGAGAAATGGGCCTCCCTGTGGCCTTGAATTTGTCAACTCTCAATCTTCTTAATGCCTCACAATTGGGCTCTGCTCTGTTCTTCAAAGGAAACAGAATTCTCAAAAATGCCAATACTGGCAAAACCATAACAGTGACATTGAACTCTTTGCTTCTGGCATGGCTGACCATCTCTTTTGTTCCTGAAAACAATTCTCTCTGGTTTCTGTAACCCTTTCCCAGTTTTTCTCTGACAACTCCCATCTCCTTACTGGATCTGCATCCTCTCTCCCTCCACAATAGGGTGCACTCAGCATCCGGAGCCTTCTTCCCACACTCCAGTCTCACTCCCTCTCACCACCTGGGGATCCCTACACAGGTGGCTCATAGATCTGTCAGACCTTCCCTACAACTCCAGCACCTTCTGGACATTTCCAAGTAGACACAGTCATCCCTAACTTAACATTTTTAGATGAAACTACATTATAGCTCCCTCTTGATTTCCTCATTTTTATAAAAGATAGTAAAATTTCCCTAGCTACTCAGAATACATTTTCTTTCTCTCTCTCTCTCCATCATTCTTACTATACTTAGTCAAGAATGACCTTGACCAAGCCATTTTGCCTTTTTAATTCTCAGTTTCCTCACGTGAACCACAGAGAAAATTGACACTCAGAAGCCTGGAAAAATGTGCACATATGAAAATGCCTATACCTACCACTCAGCATATGTCTATCTCTCTTCTCTCCATAAACAGCCCAAAATAGACAGAATTTCTTTACAGCCTGGAATTGTTGTGTGCTGTCCGGCTGACCCTGCAGGACAGCATAGGTCTGCTTAACTGGGTTTGCAAGGCTGCGGTCTTCATGGGAGCAGAAAACCATGTCGTACTTTTGTGGAGCTCCAGTGGGTCCTAACTGTCAACTCTCTGGTAGCAGATGACAGCACCCCCAGAGCTCTTTCTCAAGGCATACCTGTCACATTTTTAGATGTACACATACCTCTATAATGCCTTGCACAGTGGCTTGCATATAGGAGGAGCGCAATAAACATTCCCGAGCTGGCACCCAAGGACAAGCATTGGCTGCCATTGAGTTGGCTGCTGATGCCAGGCAACCCCTGCCTGGTCCTTTACCAGCCCCAAGACCACTACAATCCACAAGGCTTTCAATGGCTGAATTCTGAAAACAGATCATCAGGTCTTTGTCTCTGGTCATTGTTAATCTGTCTAGCATCAGAACAACACACAAACATCCACTTCTGTGCAGCAGCACCATGAGGGACCAAAACAAAAGATCATCAGATGAAATCTGAGAAAGGTGACACCTAAGTCTCAACCAGTCTAGAACCAAAGCAAAGCCCATCGCCATCAATTCGCTCAGACTCCCAGTGACCCCACAAGACAGAGCAGAACTGCCTCACAAAGCCCACTGCTATTGAGTCACTCAGCCTCCCAGTGACCCCACAGGATACAGAACTGCCTCACAAGGTATCCAAGGCTGTCAAGCTGAATGCCTCATCTTCCTCCTTCAGATCACTGAGGAGATTTTCACTAGTGACTTTCTAGTTAGCACTTGAGTTCTAACAACTGCACCATTAGGCCCTTTGGATGGTTCTTACTCACAGCAACTCTCTATCAGGCTTCTGAGGCTATCACTCTAGGGGGGAAGTGATTGTCCATCTCCTCCATGGAGCAGATGGGAGATTCAAAGCACCAAACTTCTGGTTAGCAGTGCAACACTCTACGCACCGCTTGACCAGAGTTGCTAGAGGCACATCACTCACTCACTGGTGATGAGCTGATGCCAACTCATCGTGACCAGGTGTCTGAGGCTGGAAACTTTAGCGGAAGGAAAAGGCCCATTTTTCTCCCACAGAGCTACTGGTGGATCCGAACCACTAAATCATGAAGCCTCTTGGTTACTAGTGCTCCTGGATGATAATGATCATGTGATACGGGTATTGCTGAGTCAGTTCCATTCCTCAGTAACCATGTGCATGTCAAAGTAGTACTACACCCCACAGGGTTTACAATGGCTCATTTTTCTGTAAGTAGATTGGCAGGTCGTTCTTCTTTGGTCCCTCTGACTCAAAGCGCTGATCTTTCGGTGAGCAACTGAGCATATTAACCATCCGCACCACCTATGATTATCTAGCACCTGGTAGGTTCTGAAAATTATATCTTTTTTTTAAAATTTTATTTTCATAATTTTAATGAACATTTAGAGAGATTTTGGATTGACATTCATTCATTGCTAAACTTTTCTCCCTGCCCAGCCCTCCCCCCTGCACCCCCCCTCCCCCGCCCAGTTTAATCCTCTCTTTGAAAAAGTAAAATTCTTTCTTTGGTATACAATCCTCCCGCGCCCCTCCCACCACTCCAGGTACACTCCACTATGCACCGTTAATTCTGGACTCTTGTAATAACTATAATACCCTATCATATAGCACTTTTAATTTATTCTCTCCCTCATCTGTTTCAATGCAGTATACATAATTTATCCAGTTTTTCTCAGTCTTACCCAAACCCTGATATCAGTCCCATTCTACAACAGTGGCACCATGCAGTATTTGTCCTTTTGTGACTGAGATATTTCACTCAGCATAATGTCCTCCAGGGTTACCCATTTTGAATAATATTGCATGAGTTCCTTGTTTTTCAATGCAACGTAGTACTCCACTGTGTGAATATACCACAGCTTTTTTATCCATTCGATAAATATCTCCTGTAAAACATTAATTAACTATTCTTAAGTTTCCAGCATTTGTCTTTTAAAAGAACAGGAAATTTAGGAGGTTCTGCTCAAGTTGTAAGTTTCTCATATGGTCCCATATGAGGGAATTAAAAGTGTTCAGCCCTCACCAAAACCAAACAGTATTCTTTACGTGAGAGTTTGGATAAATAAATACTCACGTGTCAAATGCACTGTACTCCAATGTTAAACGAGCTGGCAGGCCGGCACAATCACCTGGACAGAAGCACCATCACAACTATGAATCATGAGTCAGTAATAGCAGCAGTCATACAGAAATCCCGGAGAATAATACTGTTACTCTTGGTTGTGCCCCAATGTCCCATCTTATTCTTGAAACACAGGAGCTGAGCCAAATACAACAGAGCTATTACAAATATGTGGACTTTTCCATGAATATAAAAAAAGATTAATCAGAAAAAATATTTCTAAACTTCTCCCTCAACAATACTAAATAATTGCCATTAGTTATCTAGATTGAAAATTGGGTTATACTACAACTGTTCTCCTCCCCAGAACTAGAGAATAGAAGTTAAAGTGAACTTGGATCAAAATTTACAGCAAAAGAGAAAGTAGTAAAGATCTTGAATTTCAAAAAGTAAAGGTGTTCTATTCTAAAGGAAGTTGGACAGTACCCTGGGGACAGGGCAACAGAAGCTGGAGTGCGCTCCTGCCTACCATTGTAATAATAGCCCTTAATGTCCTTGGGAGCTTCATCCAGACGATACTCATTCAGCTTCTTCTGTGTCAGCTCGTGCCAGAATCCCACATCTAAGGCACTGCTAAAGGGGGCGAACTGCAACTTGGGGAGTCCAGAACCACCTGGAGCTGCTGCCATTACTGTTGTTTACTAAAAACAAAATGGAACACAGAAAAATAGCATATCTTCATAAACTTAATGAGGAAGAACATTTTAAATAATCCTTAAAACAAACAAGTAATGATAGGGACACAGGTACATCTTTCAAAAAACTTATATTAGTTTGCTTACAAAGTTCATATATACTGTGTTTCACACTATTCTTCATTCACATCGTGTTTCATACAGTCATTCACATGCATTGCATAGGGGTTTTTTGTTGTCTTCTTTTTATCAACTTGGTTTGATTACAAAGTTTGTATACATGGTGTTTTACACTATTCATTCACATTGTATTTTATACAGTCATTCACATGCATTATGTTTTCTGAAATTAACCACTGGACCTTGCCCATAATTACCCTGACTTTTCAGGTCCTCACCGGATCCTTCCCATTTCCTTCACTTACATCTTCCACCCATCATACTGTTCAACCCTGTGGTTTCACCCATACCATCCTCACCCCTCTGCTCCCACCTCCTCCCTTGTCGTGTCTCCATACATGTTTTACTAGTTATCCTTCTACTGTTACAATAACAGTCTTATGCAGTATTTGTCCTTATGAGACTAAGTTAATTCACTAAGCATAATACTCTCCAGTCTCTCCAAAGTTATGGAGTATTTTTCAAATTTGTTGCTCCTGAGCGCTGCATAGAATTCGATTGTGTGAATGTACCAGTTTCCCAATCCATTCAGTTGGGGTTGGACATCTGGGCTGTTTCCATGTTTTTGCAATAGTGAATACTGCTGCTATGAACAATGGTGTGCAAATTTCCGTTTGTGTCTCAGTTCTAATTTCCTGGGGGTACATTCCTAGTAGTAGTTGGATCATAGTTTCTATGTTCAACTTTTTTAGAACACGCCAAATTGCCTTCCAGAGTGGTGGTGCCATCTGACAAAGCCACCCTGAGTAATTTGTCTATCATGTCATGTTTTGTTGTTTGTTTTATTTGTGTAAGTTGAACCACAGGAGTTACATCCCAGGTTGAAAAGCTGACTAAAGACCACAGCTGCAGGCCTTTCACTAAACCAATAAGCCTGGCCATTTCTTCCTGAATAGTGCTTCACGGTGGCACTGCTCCATGGTGGGAGTTGGACACCATCTAATTCTTCTGGTCTCAGGGTCATGGAGTTTGCAATTCATGTAGTACATCAGTCTTCTGCAGCATTGTTTCTATGTGTCTTTGCATTTCTTCCCTCACCTTTCTTCCAGACAGAGAGCAGCCAATAGTTGCATCCTAGGTGGCTGCTGGAAAGCTTTTAATACTCCAGTAACTACTCATCTAAGGAGTAGGCAGTAGCAGCAAAGTTTAACAAAACAGAAAACAGTAAATGTTCGAGAATGAGGGGAGACTGGAACTCTCATGCACTGTTGGTGGGATGGTAAATGGTACAACCGATATGAAAGGCAGTTTGGTGTTCTTTTAAAAAGTTGAATATAGAGATTCCACATGACTCATTTATTTCAATGCTAGGAATGTACCACAAGGAAAACAGAACTGAGACACAAACAGAGATCTGTATGCTGATGTTCATAGCAGCACAACTCACAATAGCAAGAACATGGAAATAGCCCAAATGTTTAGCAACAAACAAAAAGACTGAAACTACGGTATATTCACATGATGGAATACTACACAGCACTCAAGAGCAATTATTTTAATAAATACTATACAACATTGGAAAGGCAAGAAAGCATTATGCTGAGAGAAATAACTTAGATGCATAAGGATAAATACTGTATAAGACCATTCCTGTAAAAACATAAGTATAATCAAGAAGACATATATGGAAATCCAAAGAGGGAAGGGGAGAGGCAGGGCAGCTGAGGTTGGGGAGGGGGGAATCATGGGGCTACAGAGCTTGGTGGGTGATGGAAAGGAAAGAATATTAACAACAATGTACATGAATAAAAAACACAATTTAAAATAAAAAAGCTGAACACAGAAACTCTGCATGATCCAGCTATTCCACTACCAGGAATATAGTGCAAGGAAATTAGAACTGAGATACAGATGGATATAAGTACGTTGATGTTCACAGAAGCAATATTCACAATAGCAAGAAAATAGAAACAGCCCAAATGTCTATCAACAAACGAATGGATTGAGAAACTGCGGGACATTCACACAATGGAATACTATGTAGCACTAGGAAACAACGACTGTACAAAATACTATATAATTTGGGAGAGACTAGAGAGCATTATCCTGAGTGAAATATCTCAGTAACATAAGGAAAAATATCGCCTAAAGCAACTCTATTTTCAGGTAAAGGGGAACAGGGAAAAATCACTGTGAAAGCAAAAGTTAAAGGGTAGGGGGGATGAGGTAATGGGAACAAGTCAGTGCAGACATGAAAAGATGGGGTGAGAAGAGGCACAGAGCAATGGCAATAATAGATTAAATTATATTAAATTAAAAAAAATGCCATGGTCTTCGCAATCACCTGTTATGCATCAGAGAGTTGGACAATGACCAAGGAGGATAGAAGGAGAATTGATGCCTTTGAGCTGTGGTGCTGGAGAAGAGTATTGAGAATACCATGGACTGCTAGGAAAACAAACAGATTTGTCCTGGAGAGGGTTAAACCGGGTGGCTCCTTGGAGGCAAGGATTCTGAGGCTCCGTCTAACTTACTTTGGACATGTTGTGAGGAGAGACCGGTCCTTAGAGAGGGACATCATGCTTGGGAGAGTGGAGGGACGGCGCAGGAGAGGAAGGCCCTCTATGAGGTGGATTGATTCAGTGACTGGGATAATTGGGATGGGAGTGTCAGAGAGTGCAATTGGCACAGGACAGAGCGGAGTTTAGGGCTGTTGTACATAGGGTCGCTATGAGTCGCAGGCGACTTGACGGCATATAACAACAACAAATATATATATGAAATATCACTGATAACACACATAAGCAAAATCCTGCTCAAGAGTATGCAGAAATGACTGGAACAGGACATTGACAGAGAACTATCAGAAATACAGGCCAGGTGAGAAGAGGCCATGGCACCAGAGACATTATCTCCAATGACAGATGGATCTTGGCTGAAAGCAAAGAGTATCAGAGGATTGTCTGTGTTTCAATGACTGTACAAAGGCATTTGACTGTATGGATTTGTGGCTAACACTGAGAGGTGTTATCTGCCAAGGACAGAGAAGAATGGGAATATCAGAACACTTGATTTTGCTCATGCAAAACCTATACTTGGATCAGGAAGCAGTGGTCAGAATAGAACAAGGAAACACTGCATGAAAAGGAAAAAAAAAAAAGGAGTGTGTAAGACCTATGTCCTGTTTCCATGACTTTTCAATCTATAAGCAGAACAGATCATTTGGGAGGCTGGACTTTATGAAGAAGAATGTGGCTCTGGGGTTTGAGGAAGACGCATCAACAACCTGCATTATGCAGGAGGCACAACCTTGCTTACCAAAACTGAGGAGGACCTGAAGTGTTTGATCCAGAAGGTCAAGGACTGTAATCTTCAATATGAATTGAAGCTAAACATCAAGAAGACAAAGATTCTCACCACTGGACTAACTGGTAGTACCATGACAGATGGAAAAGAGACTGAAGTTGGTAACAATTTCAGCTTGCTCGAATCCACAATCACTACTCTCGGCACCAGCAGTCAGAAAATGAAAAGACAAATTGCTCTGGGGGAAACTGCTGTCATGGATCTTTCCAAAGCGCTAAAGAGCAAAAGCATCAGTCTAGAGGAAAAGGTGCCTGATTCGGACATGTTCTTCATAATTACTTGCCATCCATCAGAGAATGGGACGATGACATGGACTGCCAAGAGAACAGATTCATCCTGGAGAGAGTGAAATCAGGCTGCTCTTTGAAAATAAGGGTTATGAAGCTCCTTCTCATGTACTTTGGGCATGTTGCCAGTCTTTGGAGAAGGACATCATGCTTGGAAGGGTGGTGGGACAGTACAGGAGTAGGAGACTCTGGATGAGATGGATTGACACAGTGACTGGGGTTATGAGACTAGGTGTGTCAGTGTGACTAGCTCAGGATAGGGCAAGGTTCAGAGCTATTGCACATAGGGTTGCTATGAGTCACAGACAATGCAGTAGGTTCTCCCATGGCATGTAGTATTTTTTTTTTGGGGGGGGGGTAAAAGTTCAAAATTTTATTAGAATCATTTGTAAGTTAAATTAACAATATTTCTGTGGTGAAGGGTGACTTTTCAACAGAACATGACAAGTGAATAAACAGAAGGAGGAAAAGTCTTAACTGTGATATTTAAATGGTTACATGATTTTAATTATTCTTTGGATAATAAGCTGCTTTGTGATGTCTATTCAAGGACCTGAAGCCTATGCCTACTATGGAATTTGCAGGTGAATTAGAGCTTTGTTTCCTGCCTCTGACAATTTTAAGGAAACAATTGGAAATGGCTTTAAGAACTTATAAAAATCTACCACCTACCAAACAAGTTTAAAAGGTACAGTGGTGAGCACTAGAAAGAGGAGCGTGGAAAGGGTGAAGCATGTGTGTGCACACACACGTGATACTGACTTGTGACACAGAGCAAGGGAAGCCAGGAGTCAAAGAGAGAGAAGGGCCTAGAGCCCAGTCCGTGCGAAGCCCTATTTGTTCATGTAGTATTTTACAAAATTGTTGTTCTTAGTGCTGCATAACATTCCATTGTGTGAAGGGTCTATAATTTCTCATCCATTCATTCGTTGATGTACATTTAGGCTGTTTCCATCTTCTTGCTATGTTTTCATTTTCTTGCAGCTATGAGCATCAGTATATAAACCTCTGCTTATTTCTCAGTTCTATTTTCTTGGTGTTTACTCCCAGTAGTGCAATAGCTGGGTCATATGGGATTTCTATGTTCAGCTTTTTGAGGAAACACCAAACTACCTTCCAGAGTGGTTATACAATTTTACAATCTCACCAACATTGTATAAGAGTTCTAATCTCTCAATATCCTCTCCAACATCTATTGCTTGCTGTCTGTTAAACTTTGTC